TGTCAAGCATTTAACTGTCTCTTAAGGAAACAAAATTGACAGACAAAAATGCGGTTTCCTTCTACTGACACCTCAATTTTCTATGCAAAATAACTCAAAGAAAATGTCTCAACTGCCTGGTTGACCACACACATAAAGTTTAAAATGCAATTAAACGTGATTGTCAGGACAATATTAACATTTCATATATTGGAACACGTATGAAAAGAACTTCAATTGTATGTGACAGGAGAGAATTTGGCCTAACTTGTACATTTGGTTGCTTGTTGGGGTTTATCATCTTTGTACAGTATATAAGAACAAAGCTACTGCATTTTCTGAGACCTATAACAAATACAGTTTGTCCTTGAGATAAGGGGTCTTTTAGGTTATGATCTGAGAACCTTTAATTGTTAAATTCCCTTCATAGCTGTAATTTATTAACCAACCACTGCAATCCAATTACGTAAAGAATCATGGCACTCCAAGCATCATGTTATTTTCCCAAATCTTTTGATGCACACTCTTCTGTTTTCTCACTTTTGTGTTCTTTTTTAAGAAGGTTCCCAAAGCTAAAATAACTATTAACATTACCTGTCCCCTTGCCAACCGAAGCCAAGCACTGACAAGTGCTTTAATAACTGCATGAGCAGGCGAGTGAAGTTAGTGATTCTGAACAATGGTTGTTAAGCAGTGATAACACCCAGAAGCTGATAGTAAGGCATTTATTGGAGGAAACAAAACATACAGTTTTAAACTATTTACAAAGGGAAGTGTGTTGTTCAAAGGGGGCGTTTTTGTTTTCTGTAATTCACCTAAGGACTCATCTTTTGAATATTTGCCAATTCTGTTTAAGAATAATGGGATACTAACATTATGAAATCTAAAAAGGGAAACAATGTGACAGTTCTAGGAATCACTATTAAAAGTAGGTAACAGATCTGTGTTTTTTAACTGTAAATACTTCACATGACAACTCAATAATAAACTGCTTTGAACAGCTGTTAAACCTGACCTAATCAAATACCAGCGATCGGCCAACATTTTAGTGTTGTGGAATGAAAACTCATCCCAACACAGTGTAGTCTGTGGAGCTCATAATACTAAAACAACATGGAAGTCTGGGCTCTTTCTACTAACAACATTGCAACCTATGGTGGAAACAGAATATGTGTACATATTCCTTCTTCTTGGAAACATCTGAAGAAAAACATAAGTACATACAATTCATCACTTTTTTGTAGTATTCCAGTTTACCCAGAATTGATCACTGCAGAAATACAGCACATTCCCAGAGAAATCTCAGAAAGGGTCCTGAAGAATCCGCACTGGACCTGAAGAAGGCTCAACAGTGGAAATGCTGTGTTTTTTTCGTCCTATTTTTCAGCAAGGGATTAACTTTTCCTTGTTCCTTTGCAGCCAACACACGCTGACTCAGCTCCCCACTTAAACAACTTGTGTAAGCTACTTGTCAAAGCCTATAGCAGGAAAATGTGAAAGTTCTTTATTACTGTGCTATGATGTCAGGGACGTTGGCTACAAAACACACAAAGGGATAACAAGAATCAGTAGCCACACAGGTTAACAGTTGTATCCTCTGATACATATACATATATTCTTACCCTGAGCTGTGACCATTTCTCTTTGCAAAAATAATTTAAAGGTGGAATACTATTGTTTTGCAAGTACTGAATTCAAAATGACACCACAGAAAGCAGTGAGAAGCAGGTAAGGGTTTCCTTACCATTAAAATTAAATACACCTGCTCCCCACTGTAAGTTTCCCTGCCATGGTTCATTTCAGATGAATGTCTATAAAATGGCAACAGCCCACCAAGACTTAGAGGACACTATGGGGACACTTGCCTTCTTCCCCTTCAGCACAGGCTAGAGTTCCAGCTCCAGCAACCAGCCCATCTGTCACATCAGCATTTGTGCATGATCCACTGAAGTTGATTGGACAGCACTACATCTTCAACTGAAAGCAAGCTGAACAGGAACAGGTGGTGAACTTGAGCAGATTGTATCTGGTCAACAAAGCCACTCAGCTCCTAAAAACGCTGCAGCATCCAGCTCAGAAGATCTTTCTGGACTTAATCAGAGATTCAATTCCCGCTTTAGAGAGGCCTTGCTCAGTGGCGCCCTGCTTGGACAACACCAGACATCCAATTCACGGCCAGCAAAGAGTAGCTGGGAGAAAGCGGCTCACCAGTGAAATGGGTCATTCCAAAGAATGTGCAAGTGCATAACCCAGCACAGCCATCCCAACAGGTCAGGACAAGCAAGGTAAGAGTGCACTTCTCAGGGCCCTAACACAGTTGTACTTGAGGCACCTGTCAACCTGGACCAAGCAGTGGAACTGCAGAGGGTATTGTCCCTGGGGTTCTGACCCCGGCGTCTGCTCACAGGAGCAGAGAAACACTCCCCAGTAGAAGGTGATGATTGTAACACTGCGCGTTGTAGAAAGAGTGAAGAACCCTTTGCGGAGTTGTAGAGCTGAGTGAGGAGAGGTCTAGAGTTATCCAAAACGTAAGGCGAAGACGTAGTCAAGGGCGAGTTCAGGGTTCGATACCAGGGAAAATCCAGGAGGAGAAGGTAGACAAATCCAAAACGCTAGACGAGGTCGACGTCAAAAGGTAAGATCCGGGTTCGAGTATCCAAAAAGGCAAGAGGAAGTTAATAATGTGAGGCAAGGAGTTCTGAAGAAGCTAACAGTACCGAGCAGTGTTCAGTGAAAAGGAGAAGGCTTAAGTACGTCTGGAAGTGGAGGGTGTGTTAACAAGTGAGGTGCTCTGATTTGATGAAGGGATAGATTGGCGGCGTTTGCGGAGATTGCCTCCAGCTGGTGCTTGATCGGGACGAGACCATTTTTAGAGGAGGATTGCGATTAGCAGCGGACGTGACAATGATAAGATCACAAGATGGCGCACACGATCAATTAAACCCCAGGCCCACCCACACTCACTGGACTAACCAAGACCAGGGTGGGGTGGCCGTCATTGGAATATGAGGATATTGTGTTGTACTGAAAGGCCCCTCTGCAACACTGCACCAGAAGGGGGCATGAACGAAGTACAAAAGGGTGGGTGTTGCTCTTCCAGACTGAGATGGGCAAAAAAGAACGTCGTCATCCTTGTGCCCGTGGACTGTTTCCCTAAATGGCCCGAAACGTACTGGGTCGCTAATAGGGGAGGATGTGTGCTGATATTTCCCAGGAGCTTTGCGCTCAAGAAACCTGCCATTCGAAAGGCGACCCAGATCAAACCAGCAGATAAGATCCAGTATAGAGTTCTTGGTCAATCTGAAGGTGCAACTGGACCACGCTCATCAGTGAGCTAGCGAGCAGGCGATGTAAGTGGGGTGCTGGAACAACTGTCAGAAGTAATTTGCAGGGTTCAAATGACGGCCTGTCCATAACATGTGGTGTTAATAAATCAACCACATCGATTAATGTGGTTCACTCACCAGCAATGGAGAGCCAAATGGACAGCATGGATGGACTGAGGGCTTCAGTTCTGCACTCATAGGAATTGTTCTGTTTGCACATATGCAGCTTGGGTATGGGCAGGGCCAAGGACTTAAGACTCTGGATGTCAGAGAGAGGCAAAGATTGTGTGGGACTTTTTGTTGTGGGAGAAGCTGGCAAGAATCTCAGGCTGATGGGGGTTCCCATGACTACCCCAGCGGGGAATGGAGCACCACTTTTTTGTTGGCTTTACAGCCCCAGAACGGAAAAATAGGGAGCATTCTTCCCGTACTAGCGAGTCTGGTCTTAGCAGGTGTAAGGCACATGTTGTTGTGTACTACCATGATACGGTTACACTGTAAAAATAGTGCACGCAATGTGTTTTTAGTATTCGAGGTTAGGGTCTTCAGAACGTCAGCTTTTGTGAGATTAGCGTTGTAATATAAGCGCAACCGTCAATTGAAGTATTCAGCACCGGTATTCAGTGATTAAACAGTGAAAAGCTAAGTGAATGTAACAGCAGGCTTACAGTAAAATTACTAAAGAGAGTCTAACCAGTCTCATCAATTTTTTTACCAGGTTTAAATGGAGAGCTTGTGATTACCTACTCTGAGGTGACTGTATTTAGTGTAAAAAGCATATTATAATGCTTTTTAGATTTTATGCAAAATACTTGACGTTTCTGTGAGGTGATACAATCATCTCGCAGATATTTCATTTTGAAAATTATAATAGCGATTTTATTACGATTTTCCGAGGAAGATTGCCAAAGATGAAAAGGCAAAGAGAATAAAAGCCCATGGTTAATACATTCAGGCTGCTAGCAGGACAGCGCCTAGTTACGTCAGTCTAAAATGCAATGTAATCGATATATACAAAAATGACTTTCAGTTTCTACACCAGCGACAATCCTGGGCTTTTATATTATTAAACCCATGGGCTGTACATCTCCATGCGAATTTATTCATCCATGGATTCTCAAATCCCTTCCCTCTCTCACCCGTATTCAAAAGAATTTCTGAATCAAAGGCACTATACAGACAACAAAAGCATTAACATACAGTAGACAACGGTATCACGTGTAATATGTTTATATATGCAACTAATTATATTATAGACAGATGAATGTGAAAGAATAATTTTCACAGAAAATATGTCAATCTTAAAATAAATTACACAAAAATAAAAGATTAATGTGTGCTGTATAGTGGGGTTTTTTTGTATTTAAAGCGAGGGCTACAGTTTTCTCAAAATCACACAAAATCATATTTACATCAATATGTATATAAACGAATGCCTTTATTCGCGCATATAAAAACTGCATTTCAGTCTCAAGTCTATTCCCAAATTTAAACTGTGTCCCAGGCAGCTTACACGAATAACATCTGCTGCTGCCTAAATTTAGGTGACAAGTCCGGACCGCGGCGTCTGAGAGCTCTTTTGACATGCACCTTGAGCGTGCGCTACATGGCTATTTTGTAGTTGCACAAGCAAAAAAACTAAACAAAACCTAAAACCACCTTTTTCAGTGGAAATGAATAATACAAATAACTTACACAACCAATCTAGAGATGATCCATGAGACCATGGCGCTGTGAAGGCTCTGTGTGATATCGGCAGGGAGGAGTTTCCTATGCCTCAGCACTAACAACGGAACAAGCGGCCCCTCGCCTCAGCCATTTGTTAGTCCGTTCGGCGCAGGCGTCAGGACCAGCACGCAGCCAAAGAGCGCAAGAGTGTGACAGGCAAATGCTTACTGGACAGAATATATTCTTGGGTATTGGGGAAAATCGAGTGGTGTGACGACCAAAAAGAAAAGACTTAATCACGTAAATGGTCAGATTAACAAGCCCCTCTCATTATACAGTATGTTGCTGTTTGTGTTATAATCTACCCTGTTCATTGTTTATATATACGTTGATACTGTACTCACAATCCACTTCATTTACATCGTTCTTTTAGTTAATTAAACACTAATCACTAATCTTATAATTATATCTTAGAAATTCACACTCATATTATAATTAGCCTGAACATTATGTTGAGACGATCATAATATGGCCTGTCGAGGAGAGACCATTCTCATAAGACAGCGCAAGGAAGGTCAGCATTCATCTCCCTCTGTCCTTGCAGTCTCTCACGCATACCTCTACAATTTTCCTTTGTACCCAATAATGAATACGCTGCTGCATACAGACTGAGGTCTGCTGGCATCAAACCACAGAATGTCTTCTTGTATGACCTGCTTCTGAAACCAGAGGAGAGGATTTAAAGGGGTTCCTCAGCTTTTAAAAAATGTTTGAGTTCCTCTGCTTGTACGCACATGCAATGTCTTTACTATGCTAGGTATGCAACTGTGGTAAAGAGTCAGTGGGATAAGAGACTCGCCCAGCAGAGGATTTCTGGTTCAGGATTCCTACAGAGGAACAGATGTTCTGCTAACACTCTTTTGTGGTGTGACAGATCAGCTCCGATGCCCAGTGCCAGACTTCCCATAAGTCACTGTCACGCCCTCTGCAGCCAGAGGGCGCTCTTACTCTGTCCTGTCCCTAGTTTCCTGTGGTTTGCTCTCCTTCCGGTGTCTCTCTCTCTCTGGGGCTATATATTTCTGGGTCACTTATTCTCCTGCGCTCAGCATTGACATTCTGATGTCCTGAGACCCGCCTATGTACCAGGTCGTCCCACGTCCACTGCCTGAGGGCATTGGTTTCTATACGACTCCTTAACTGCTGAGCCTGGGCTAATCCCCCGTTCCACCGCTACGCATATAGGTCTTTTTCCGCTCACCTGCCTCTCCACGGTTTGCCCTTCCGACATCCGTGACAGTCACTGTAGGCACAGTGCCTAGGCGGGCCTACAAAATTTTTAGGGCCTACGAAGGAGGTAAACACTAGTGACTTACGAAAAACGAGCTGAAACAACATGTTTGCGATCGACTCTAGGTGCCTCAATTCAATAATCAAACGCTATCTAGCGGCTGTTCTAGAAACTAGAAGTATCAAAGTGATGGTTGCTTGACTCTCTCCATCAAGCACGTGGTTTACCATTAGAATAGTTTAAAGTGCCTCATGTCAGTCGATGTAATTCAATTGGTGTTTACCCCTCTTTTTGCACATTTTGGCAAGTGAAAGTGCCAAGGGCCTACGAACACCAAAACCTGGCCCTGCCGGTGCCTGCTGCATCACTTTGAGGCCACTAGTCTGCATTAATTGAAAATGCAAATATGAATTAAAAAAGAAGTGAAACTTCTGGAATGGCATTCAACAAGTCTGGATATGAATAAATCTCATATATAAACTAGTCATGAACTGAACACATTAGCAGACGCACGAGTATTGTGCATTTGTTTGATGCAGACGGAAATGATTGCTGTTTTTGAAGGAGACCTGAAGTTTTTATCATGACCTTGATATCTTGATATCATTTATCAACACCATCAATTATCATGATGAATGCTGTTTTTCATTTTGACGATGAATGTAATGGCTCACACAAGATCCTTTGGAGATCCGACCTCATCACAAACAAACCCTGCCTAACTGCAGTGTAGGGGTGGGGTTGGAAGACTGTTTTGAATAACAGACTTAAAAAAACATTTCTGCTCCATTGTTTTTGATGCAGAGGCTGAAGGATTCACCCGGACAATTATTGTCCCAGCACTAAATTGGCTCCAGTCACTCAATTCATTCTGTTTGCTCTGTTTCTGAAAGCCTTGTGGGTCAGATTATGTCATTTTGGCTCAGGAAGTTGTGTTGAGAATCATACTGCAAAACCTTCAGAGCCCTCTCTGCTTTTCAAGGTTAGTTTAATTCACAGAGCCATATTTTACAATAACACTCTGTGTCACATGGTTAGCAGTGCTGCCTCTCATCACGGTAGCCTGTGTTTAATTGTGGACCACTGTGAAGTCTCTATGTTCTTCCATGTGTTAGCGTGGGTTTCCTCTGGGTGCTCCAGTCTCCTTCCACAGTCCGAAGACATACTGGTAGGGTAATTGGCTGTGATGGAAGTGTGCATGTCTGTGTTGTTGTCTGTGTCTGCCCTCCTGTTATGTATGGACTTGTGTCCCTTCCAGAGTATACCTTGCCTTGCACTCCTTGTTTGCCAGAATAGACCCTGGCTCCCATCAAACCCTAAAGTGGTTATAGAGGCTAACAAATGGGATGGATGGATTTTCGGTCCCTTTGAGGTAAGGTTAGTGACCAAAGCCAAGGGTCAGAACAAAGAGGAAATGTTTGCCTAGCTGGTGAGATGATGAAGACGTGTAGGCTGTAGCCGATGACAGGATGGACCTTTCTCTGCGAGGTGCTTTCTCTAACCTTGCTCCTGCTGTCATACTGTGAGCCACTTGCTTCTGGGACAACAGCTGAGAAAAACACAGCTGTGTTTGTGTCTCAAGAGTAGAATGATAAATTGCAAGTAGGATGGAACGAGAATCATCTAGTTCAAAGTAACAAGATTTTTTACACTGACTGTAAAGGGCTTTGAGATGTCACTTTTAAAGATAAAAATATATTATTATTATTATTATTAAGAATATTAACAGATTGTTGTGCACTGTTGTGGAAAGTCAAATTTAAAAAACGAATCTGTTATAGTTACAACCCACTATATTAGCTATTAAATTAATATGAAATTGGGAGTAATTGCTTTTAGTAAACCATAAATAGTAATTAAACACATGCTACACAAATCATCGTAATTTTTACAAATTATTTATCACCTTTTTACATAACTCTTCCCAGCACAAATTATCTGTATACTTAAAAAACAGACCCTGCAAAGTAAAACACAAATATCTGTGTGATCGACTGTTAGATTAAAAATAATCATCATCATAAAGTAAAGACAATAATAATGACATTTTATCAATGAGCACTTGTCTACGAGCTCAAACCACTGCTTACTGTATATCAAGGAAGATGTTTTAGTGCTTTTTGTCATTTACAGTAATTTACAAGTAATGTATATAATGTAATGTGTAGTAGTTCAGGTGGGTAGCTGCATCAGCATGCATAGACTGCAAAGGAACAAGTAATAGGTTTATTCCATGCTGAAAAGAGAAGAAAGAAAACACAATGCTTCGCCCATGGAGCCTTCTTCAGGTGTGAGCATGTAATGTGTATCTGTAAGTTATGTTGTTTTCTAAATAACTGTCTGGAGTTAAAACAGAACAGAACTTGTGGTGTTCTTAATTATTAGAAAATTGGACCCAATTTCCCAGAGGAAAAGGTTTTGTTCACGGGGCTTACTGTGTTGGTCAGTATGAAACTAGAGTCCACCTAGCTGACCCAGACAGCTGACACTCCTTCAGATGGTGGCATATCTCAAGTTACTTCCTTTATACTTAGAGATTGGCATGGAAAAACACACTCTGCCTTCATCAACTTTAACACAGCCTTTGGGCTATGTACATTACACTTGCTGCTGAAGGCTCTAAACCCGCCATTTTAACTTCACAACAGCTCTCCAGATCGTTAGTTCAGTGTTGTCTGAACAAGCCCGTCTTCAACTGCCCTAACGAAACAAGTCATTTCGGTCTGTGGGGTGAAACGTGGTCATTGACATTAATTTAAGTTTGTCAAGGGTGCATCGCTCAGTGTCACCTCTGTGACAGAGCAACTGAGGCCACTCTTGACCTCTGACTGCTCTCAAGGGAGTGATGTACAGCAGGTATAAGAGCTTCATCATATACCATGAGCCCTTTTGCATAAGAAATAGAAAAACTAAAGTATTCCGTCATTGTATTAAATAAGTACTGGTTATGTTAAGACTGGGTGACTCCAAATCACATTAAAAGAGATTACCAGATCAAACATAAATATCTGTTTTATTATTTACATAATACTACAGACATGTTTCAGAGCACTCAAATTGTGGTGTGGAGTATCACAAGCTTAGAATTACCAAACATGCTACTGTGCTACTGTATATATCAAGGTCTTTGATATATTTTCATGAGCATCTGAAAACAAAATACTGATACAGCTCCGACGCTATTCATTGTACTTTTCTTTTCAAATGTGACGGAATAACATTCCCCCGGATGCTACACGGCAGCTGGCTTACTGATGCTTTAAGCTTTCAACTGCAGGTTCGAAGACAATGAACCCTGAAACAAATAAGATGAAAACTGCACTGACAGCGAAGAACATGCTTGTTTAGTGTAACCATGGGAACAGACTCGCCAGAGGTCAGTTACAACATCCACAGGGAGTGCTGATGTAAAGTAGGTCACCCCCGGCAGCGGAAGAACCTGCCGACAATAACAGGGTGGGCTGTCGTGGAGGGTAACAGCGAGTGGTTTAACACAGGGGAACAAAAAAAACAGGAAAAAGAGCAGCCAGGCACTACGTCAGTTACCCCAGGGGTTACGATTGTGCTCTTTTCCAATAATATGTTCTTATTCGTAAAATCACATTTTGTGAAGACGCTTAGCATATCTTTTTATTTTTATTTTTTAATTGTATGGTATGGATGATATCAAACTATCAGCATGGTTTATTTTAACTCTGGATCTCACCACTAGTGTTCCTGAAATGCAAGGGGAAAAACATATACAATTCTAACAGATATTATTTGAGGATTTTAAAATAAGAGCAGAAGAAAACACCTGGCGTACATTTTCCAAAACAAAGAAACACAATCAGCCATATTAGGATATGTGAACTGTATTCGTCGACTTATTTAAAACAGGTACAACTCAGATTATCCCGTACTCCCAAATGAAGTACTTAACGTTTCCTCACAAAGGTCTGTCTTCCTCTAGTGGTGGAGAGGGAGAATTGCTCAGTAAAAATTCGTCTTTAAATCTTTTGTATTATTTTTTACATAATATATACGTGTCCTTCGTATACATTCTTAAGATGTAGTTGCTGATTTGATCAGAGATTTATGTAAAACTGTAATGTTAACATACTACTATTTATATTTATATCCTTATATTCAGCTACCCACCTGAACTACTATTTATATTTACCCAATACGGGGACATAACTTGGAATTATGGATTATCTTCAAGAAATAACCAAATGGTATGAAACGGGTTTAGAAAATACTGAATTGTTAACTGATAATTATTGTTGAACTGTGGAGCCATTACATTCTTTGGTGTATGATTTTCCACTAGCAATATGAGCGGCGAAATAACTAAGAGAGCAGATAATTGATTCATAGTCTTTCTGCTTCTATAAATCATTTTTGTTAAGACTGTGTTTACATAAGAACATACGGAGATAAGTAAAGGTACCTCTACCGTTTACACCTTGACTGGGATAGTTTGTTTCAGTCACACACAATACTATGTGTAGAAAAAGATCTTCCTTTTCTCAGTATCTTAATCTCTGGAGTCCCTCTTACACTTCTGAAGAAATTCAGTGGATTGGGTTTGTCAGTGCCTTTGTGGATTTGGAATACAAGGTCTTGAAGAATTCTTTTTATAGGATGAAACAGATTTAGTTTTTTGGGGGGTCTGTCAGGTTAGGACATTCCTTAAGTCCAGGAATGGATAAGAATGAACAACCAAGTATCTGGTTTTTCATTTGCTGCATCGGTGCCAGTATAGCAATCATTTTTGCAACACTGTAACCAAAACAGGTGGAATGGTGGCACATTAGTTAACATTGTTGCCTTGTAGCACTGACACCCTGGGTTCAGTTCCTGGGGTGCCATCTGTGTGGGGTTTATATGTTCTCCCTGTGTTCACACCTCCCAGTGATCCAGATTCCTCCCACAGGAGTCCACAGGAAGGATACTTGCAGTTTAAATGCCTTCTAGGATAATTGGCCCTGTGTTTGTCTGTGTGTACCCTGTGATGGACAGGCATCCTACTCAAGGTGTATCTTGCCTTGCACTCATTGCTCGCTGTGAAAGACTCCCACAACCCTATACTGAACCCTGTACTGGTTGGAAAATAGATGCATGTAACCAAAATTGTACATAACATTCTAACAGAGCTCTTACTAGTGCATTGTAAATTTTAATATATCACTTGGTTTTCAATCCAGAAAAGTCTTTGGTTTTTTGACACATAAAAGTGGTGTGTCAGCAGAGATATCTTCGTGTTTTTCATTGACAGCTTCTTGAAGCTCAGTGCCTCTGATTTTTATATCTGTACTTTATTGTTTTTTACTGCCTGCGGCTGCCAGGTGTTTGCTCTGTTTTGAGTTTTCCCCAATCCTTTTGAATTTTCTATGCAGTGTCTACAGTGCTTGTTAATCCTCTTCCTCCTATATAATCTACAGGTGGAACAGCTGTACTATTCCAGAGGTCATTGACAGAAATTAAGAAAAGCCATGATCCTACTATAGATAATAATAATAATAATTGCTTTTCTGGACACTCCACTCAAAGCGCTTTACAGGTAATGGGGACTCCCCTCCACCACCACCAATGTGCAGCCCCACCTGGATGATGCAACGGTAGCCATAGTGTGCCAGAACGCTCACCACACATCAGGAGAGCAGAGTAATGAAGCCAATTCATAGATGGGGATTATTAGGAGGCCATGATTGGTAAGGGTAAGGAGTAAGGACACCAGAGTTACACCCCTACTCTTTTCAGGAAACGCCCTGGGATTTTTAATGACAACAGAGAGTCAGGACCTCAGTTTTACGTCTCATCCAAAGGACAGCACCTTTTTACAGTATAGTGTCCCCGTCACTATACTGGGGCATTAGTACCCACATGGACCAGAGGGTGAGCCTCTGGTCCATGTGCTAGCCACACTAACACCACACTAGCCACACTAACACCTCTTCCAGCAGCAACCTTAATTTTTCCCAGGAGGTCTCCCATCCAGGTACTGACCAGGCTCACATCTACTTCAGTGGGTTGCCACTTGTGAGTTTCAGAGTGATATAGCTGGTGTTATACTATGGTACTCTACTAATGATGTCAACATTACTTAGGGACAAGTGCATTTACTCCTCTTTGTTTTCTATTTAATGGTTTAGTTTTCTATTCTAATAATTAGGTGATTTAATTGTCCTGATGATCACAACCTTTAAATCTAGACTTAATATGTCTTGCTTTAGTCTCTGTTTTCCTTAGTCTATAATCTGTAATCAGATCCTTTAAGGCTAGACTCTAAATGACAGTGCCAGTAAACTTCAGCTATTTCACACGTATAATCCTGACGACGGACTCGGGAGAGCTTAATACCAAGCCTGGAATTTGTAGAAACTTCATTTCATGATTTATTTTCTTTAGTATACCACAAACACCGCCAGGGGTCAGTATTTCACGACGGGGAATTGCTATTTTCCACTCCTCCGTGCCCACACGGGCAGCTGCTGTGAGATTAACTGCTGTTCTAGTCCGTCAATCGCAACATAACAAAATAACCTAAAACAGCGTTATAGCTAGCATCACCTAAAGATTTTGACTGTAACAAAGATTTAACCCTCTTAACAAATAAACGGTAATAATTGCTTATTCCCACCAAAAGAAGCGTTCTTACATTTTGTAACACAATTACATTGCATTTCCATATATTAAATTTTACAATACTTACATTTCAAAAGTTAAATATTCTCAAAAACCGAAACCTACCAACACCTTCATGCCATTTTTGCAATACAAGCATTCTAAATATTTTATATTTGATATGTCCTCTTAAAAAAGGCATTTTAATGCTTTAATACATAAAGAGCACCTTGCATTTTGAACTGTTAAATAATCCTAAATAGAGGGTTTATTTATGGTCACTGGTCATGCAGGGTTTCTACCACGTTGTTTGAATGGCTTTGGAGATGCTCCTGATTCCAAAGAGCACGTTTGATGGGATTTAAGGCAGAAATGATCCTTTTTGATATGTGTCTTAACAGTTCTCCCTCTTTGTTTCTCCTTTTTATTTAAAATCTTTAGAATGATCAGGTTCAATAATAAACAGCTTTCACTGGAAATGTACAATGTCCTTTCAACAACTTCACCTGTTGTTTAAATCACATTTTCTGAAATACAGTTCGTTTTCTAACTGCTAGTTTCAAACATTTTAAACATCCTTCAGCAAATTGCAAGAGCTCGGCGCGTAACCCTGGAAATGCTGCCTTCTTTCATTGATGACCGGCGACCACAAACGGGAGGGTGAGCAGTCCCGGCCCAATGCTTCTGCAGCGTGCCCTCCCGCCTCGCCACTCCCCGCGCCCTTCCTCCCCTCGCCTTATCTGGAGTACGCTGCAAAACGCACGTATCTTCACCGGCTCACCGCTCACACCACAACAATGGATTCTTCCGCTTGCTGGGGGGGGTCTAAACAGTTTGGTGCGACACAGATGTGTCTGTAGTGGAATGACGGAAATTAAAAGCAGTGATATTGTAGATAACACGGTTTTCTTTTATCTTTCAGCTACAGATTTTGCGACAGGCACGTCTTTCCACTTTTTGCCCTATATGGTCTGTCACGACATCGCGCATTGATTTGGCCGCTTGTGATAATGGTCTACGGCTCCTCTGGGAGCCCTGAGTGGGCGTGGAAGGTCTTTTTTCTTCTGCCAATACAGTAGCCAATAATCTTCCAGATCAGGCGTAAGGGACCCGCCCCCATACGGAAAAGATAACCAATACGGACACGTTTAATTGATGTGTGGGTGGTGCCTGTAAAGAGCAGACAGCTGGCGTGAAGTGCTTGCATGAAAATTGAAGTCAAATAGCTACGATAATCAGAATCTGTTTAGATTGTTTTTGTGTGGGAAAAAAATATTACATTCTTATCATATATTTGAGTTTATCCTAATATTAAGAAATTAGTTAATTTGAGAGGAGAGGGGAGAAAGTACTTATGAATTTGCAAGCCGTTTGATTCAAGTGAGACCTATCCATTGTGTACTTCTTTCGTCGAATGCTAGCCGTTTAATTTCAGTCACCAGCTTAAGAACTCAAGTGGAAATGCGATTTTTATAAAGCGCTATTTGCGTTCGGCGGACAGAGTGGGATTTCTTGAGCTGGGGGGTCGGAACCGGTACAAATGTGCAACAAAGCCCGCCAGATCCTCGTAGGAAGGGGGTTTCTCTGTGTGACCGGAGAGCTCCCCCTGAAAGTCGAGGAGATCGCGAAATGGGATTGGAAATCCGGGAAAATCAGAGCCGTGTCGCACAGGGATGTTTCAGACCAGAACCTGAAGGTATGTCGGACCCAGTTCTTTGAAACGCAGTTCCTATTCTCCGTCTGAATGGCGATAGCTACAGTTTCGGAGATGTGGGTGCAGGCTGTCATGTTAGGAAGACAGAAGCGCACGTACAACTTCGTCCGAACAAGGAGCGTGTCGGCGTAACTAATTCGTGAGTCTGATAACGTGGGATTTACGCGTTTTGTTCTGCACAGAAAGCCAGTGATGAAGTAACTTCAATTCACGCCTCTTTTTGTGCGACGTTTTTCAGGTCGCGCGGCGATAATCTCCGTATCCTCACAAGAATTTGAAGATTCATATATTCCTTCCACCCGAGAAATAATTATCAATTAGTAACAGTAATTGTTAGCAGTTTCGTTTGTGTTTCGGTATTCCAAAATAGTACTGTTTATGAACCCGTGGTCATACGCGTTATCGATAGTAACCGTTAGAAAGGCTAATTCTGTGTCATTTTTACTGTATGTTCGCCAAGATGCTCTCACAAGGACAAATCTAGACCTACCGTGCCTATAGGTGAAGTCTAGTTGACGTTTGTTACAAATTCTTTGGGAACTTATTGACCAAAGCTGCTTTTATCTCGTTTCCTCTGATGAAATCGTATCTTTCACCTGTGAAGTGGGAACTGGGAGAGTCGGGGATAACTCGATGTTTGTACACTTCAACCATAACATTGCCATTTCTTCCTATAAAAAAAAAAACACGCGATCCATACCTCTCTGCCAGGTCGTGGTTCAGGGATACAGCATCGGGAATGTCCATCATATGGAGAACTGAATGCTTCTTCTGGACAAACGTTACTGAACTGACCGAATTTACTGAATTTTAACGTCTCTGGGAACTTGAGTTTTAATGGAAAACTGGTAATGAATTTCCATTGGGGTGCTTAACGCCTTGGTATATTATCTTCTGTACTCACAGTTTGGAATTAATTCCCGATAAATTTTCTTTTCTCTTAGAGTGTCTTGGAAACTTGAATTGTTTGTCCAAATTTCTTCCATTCTTATATAATACCTCCGTAGTCGCCTTCATCGTAATTTAGGACTAACCCCAGTTAAAGAATCTGGTTTTGAATCGCAAACATTTTTTTTCCAAGTCAAAATGTTTATTGATTAAATGTATTTTTTATTCGTTTCCATGTTACTGAACAATACCCAATTTATCTTGAAGAACGGTAAAGTAAAAACTGATTTCAGTGTGAGGAGGGGAGGGGGCTGTTTGTATCTTGATACTGCCTAATGGGATCTGAGGGTAACATTGTTTCCGATGAAGGGTGCAGCGTTTTATGTACTGCTGCAGTTAAAAACAAAAATGCACACTTAAGTGCCAGCATTTTGCAAGCTCTTTTGATCATTTTTGATCAAGCCCACAAAGTCCAAAGTATTGAGCCCATAAAGATGCGGCACCTCAGTTCTAATTTGTTGCAATCCGGTAGTTTTGTTTGCAGTCATGCTCTTCTGTTCTAAGACAGGCCTCTTAACTTGCCTGTAGCTTCTCAACTGCTGTTCATGTGGGAGACGAGGAAAGCCAACCAAGAATCCTAACTCGGTTTCTCCCAAACTATCCCTTTTGCGTACCTTATTGGAAAACAATACATTGAGCAAAGCACTTCATAGGTTTTTCTCCATTTGCATTGGTTAGGGAATTTACTTGACCCTTCCCATCCATTCAATCAATCTCTTTTTGAAATGTCTTCTGATCACAAGCACCCCCCACCAAACCATAACACTCTGGACGGCAGAATTTGAAAGGTAGGTTGGTGTGAGCTCAGGAACCTCGTAAACTCTCCTCTTCGCCCCGAAGCACGAGATGATGAGCTGCACCAAGCTCCTGTGAAGCAGACAGCACCTAGGGTGGACAGAAAGGTGCTGAGACGCGGGCAGGGGGAGGAGACGAGGTGACGAGGCCAGGGGGAGGTGTCTTGATTTCTCGCGGATTCTCGCTGCAGGTGTTTGTGGAGTTCGACGAGCAGCAGCCGGAGAGCCGGAGGTGGATCAAGGTGTACGAGCCCCTGATGAAGGTCTTCCTGGTGGAGCACACCCTGGGGCTGGCTCGCCGGCAGCTTCCTGGCGAGACCGCCAGTGTCCAGTGGCCGTCTGTGGTACGTTCACCGCCGCCTGGGGCTCGCGACCTGCGGTTCGCAAGATAAAGGGTCTTGTAGCGACACTCTTCTGTGGGTACAGTCACAGTGGAGGCAAGTGAATTCGTGCAGTTTCAGCCGATTTGTAGCTTGGCTAAATTGTGGAGGCTGAGTGGAGTATGGAGCTCTCCCTGTCTTCGTGTGGGGTTACCTCCAGGTGCTCTGGTTTCCTTCCACTATCCGGAGACATGCCTGTAAGTTCGTTAGGGAAAATTGGCCCTGGTAACGGTTTGTGCGTGTGTTTGTGTCTGAGCGATGGACTGGCGTCCCGTCCAAGATATATCCTGCTTTGCACCTGTTGCTGGCTGGGATGGGCTTGGCTTCCCTGCAACCCTGAGTTAGTTAAAGTGGTTAGAAAGTAGATGAATGGATATGTTGTGTAGAGTTCCGACATACTGTAATAGAAGCTTGGAAAGCTCTGTCAGCTGCTTCAGGCTTCCTTTCTGCTTCCCTCTCTTAATCCCTCTCTTAATCAGTCAGTCTTGAAATGAAGGAGCCACTTTTTCATAGAGATCCATTTTAGAAAAGATTGTTCTTCTTCATCTAAAATTGTTTATATGTGTTTTGATCATACTGTTACCTGTTTAGTCGTTGAATGTTTTAACTTCTGTCAACTAGGCCATCGGGTGAGATATTTTTTCAAAAGGGGATTCCTAGTTTCTGCCCTGCGATGGACTGGCGTCCTGTCTAGGATGTACCATGCCTTGTGCCTGTTGCTTTCTGGGGTGGGCTCTGGCTCCCCTGCGAATTAGATAAAGCAGCCAGAAAATGGATGGATATTTTGCACAAATAAATTTGAACTGTGTTGCTTTGTAGGTGACAGTGGTTAGTTGCTGTGTGCTACATTCCTGAAAGTGAATACTACATTAGTAGGAAGAAGAGTACCTTCTTATACTATTCTGTTATACTTAATGTTTGTTTTCAGCCATTCAATGTAGTTAAAGGTAATATTACTTAAAATCTGACAGATTTTAAACCTGGTAATTTAAGTTTATTTAAAAATTGATCTTGTAAGAGATTTGTCACTCAAATATCTTCTTACAAAGACAAATACTGTATATTAAGAGGAGCGAGTGTTTATCTGGTAATATCGGATGTGTTTTATTTTTTGCAGGTTTTTAAGCCTCTAGTGGACATGATTGGACTAGTGCTTATTCCTGTGGAGTATCTCCTGATAAACAAGAGAACTTACATTCCTGTAGGAACTGTCCAGCCTCTTGAGGTATGCTTACAGCTGTAGCTGGGGCAGAAACTGCACATTACTAACTCTGCCAGTGTTGTACTGTTCCCATATTGAGCATCAGAAACTGTTGTTCCAGTGAAGAAAGGAGATCAATAATTCAATTTTATAAATGAATATATCAATATTTTTTGCACAGAGAGCATGACCAAAAAGTAATAATTGGTAATTAAGTAGGACTATATTATCTGTAGATTAGGCATCATAACCTTTTGTACAACCAGTAGTGGATAAACTGGCATCATGGATGTTCACAAAATTACGTCAAACATGATGGGCCAAATGCTGTCTGCTTCTTTGCTAGCCTTATTTACTGTTTTTCAGCTTTTCTTGAGTTTATGATTAAGAATGCTTAATAGTAAGTTCAATTGTTACAGTGTTCAATGACAGATGAAATGCAGCAGTTATTATTTCCCTTCCCAGAGATTAAGCTGCTTAGGGTTTTCTCTGAGGGACTTCCAAGAACTTCAGAAGGGGGTGAAAGCCTGGATTAAAAAGCACGCAGCCGTACAGCTCCTGATACGAGGTACTGTACATCCTCTTTGTTTCGTACCTGGAAGCACTGTGGTCATGCATAGTTTTCTGGTTTTGCATTGCAAAACTTCTGAAATGCATCTCCTGTGTTTGGAGCGTACTTCCAAATCTCGTATTGCAGTTTATTTTTGCATTTTGAAGTGTGTGGGGATTTATTTATTCTTTCAAATGTAGTACCAATGTTACCATGTTTAAGGGCTGTGCTATTTTGATCACTAGAAGGCCATTAGATACCTCACTTCAGTAAAACGTATTTCTATTCTGTTATCAGGCTGTCACGTTTTTATTTCAAAATCGCATTACAATCCTGTGTTACAGTAGAATTAATAAGCATATGCAACCAAATAATGACTTTTACACTCTCAAATTTACTCGAGTTTCCCAATACTTCTGGTCCCTTGAAATCACTGGGTCCAACGTTAACTATGTTTTGTTTAATATGATCAAATCTGGAATGGAATTTAACCCAAAATTAACATGTATTTTATTTTACACTTGGCATCCATATTAATGTGGTCCCGGCTAGCTCTGTTGGTAGAGCACGAGACTCATAATCTCGGGGTAGTGGGTTCATGTCCCACGGCGGGTGCCAGGTCCTCCATGTTGGAGGTTGGGCACAAGGCTAGCAACCCTGTCCTGCAAAAAACAAAATGTTACAGAAACAGCAACAGGATGTTGCTGCCCCTACATGCCAGAAGGCATAACAGGCAAACATCTGTCCATCCATCCATATTAATGCCATGGTCAAATATACAAAATTGCTTGAATGTAAAGCAAAAATCAGTTTTGACTTTGCGGTCTCAATAGTTTCGGAGGGCGCTGTAGCAGTTGGAACTACAGCAGGAGTAATAGAAGGGTTTTCACATGGGAATAAACTGGGGCGCATGTTGTGAAACTGTTGTCTTCTTTTAATGTGCCACATTTTTCCATGTTTGCAGGCAACAGAAGCCTGATTGGTTCCAAGATGAAACTGTATTGCGTGGACTCAGCCTGCCTGTGGTCTGTTGCTACTGTTGTCCAGCAAAATCAGGAGACGCAGACCCTGCAGGTTCAACACGAGCAGGTGACCCTGAAACTGAACTCCCAGTCAAATGTTTTACCATTCCCCCCGTCTGCAAGAAAGAAGTCCCTGCCTTAAAGAATATAATGTCATAATATTTGTGTATTGCAGAGCACTATCATAAGTCAAGTGAACATTTTTCAGGTGTGAAAAAATCTTAAGGAGTTCTTCATTTTAGCCCTTTTGGTCAGATTAATAGTTTTGCATGTTTTCTTTTTGTTTTAACCGTTTTTTTTTGTCCATCATAAATTGATGTCATGCCTGTCTTTTCTGTTTTCAGTCAGGAAGTATAGAGTGTGTAGACCCAGCTTTACTGGAAATGGAGCTCCTGGTTCATGTGTTGGACAGCTCAGGTACGAGTTTTCATGATCTTAAAATCTGTATGTTGGAAAGGGTTGAAATAAGGGGCTTTTTACGTTAGAAAAATATAATCCCATGGACACAGTTGCCCTCTTTCTGGAAGCCTTTGAGAACAATAATAACGTAAGAGTCTGAGGCCTGTTCTGGGTTCTACCATGATAGACAAGCAGTGGAAAAGGAATGAATTGCAACTAAATTTGTAACTTCTAGAAGTGTCTCGTGCTTCATTTGTTTTTAGCAAAGAACACATTTTGAGTTCTTTATAACTGTTTCTGAGAATTGGGTGGTTTGCGGGGGGTTTTGCAAACTAGTAGTGCTAAGGAGGTTTGCGCCTCTGCCCTCGCAGTAACGATGGGATTGTTTTGCATGCAGGAACCACAAACCTGAAGAGGAAGCCCGACGAGGAGGCAGAAGGCCTTGATGCTAAAAAGAGGAAATCGAGCTGCGATTCTTCTCCGGGCAGCGAAATGCCAGGACCTCGCAAAGAGCCTCCTGTGCCTCCGAATCCTGACCCGGCGGACGCACGGGGAGAAGCCGCGGCTGACCCGGACTCGGCGTGCGAAGAGCGCCGGCCCCTTGCCAGGGAGCCCTGCGCTGCTGGCCCTGCCAAGACGGATGCAGAGGCCTGCAGCCTCAAGGTGTGTTGCGGTGCCGTGTGTGCCAGTGTGAGCACCGTCTCCAGGGAGCAGACTGGAGCGATCTGTGGGCTGGTGGGAACGGACCGCGTTTCATTGCTGTTCGGTGCGGAGGTGTCTTATTCCCTGGCTCGCCCTGTCGCAGCGGCTGGCTCACTGCGCGTGTGCTCTTGCTGCAGACGGTGCAGTCCATCCCCTCGCTGTCCTCGGAGGTGCTGGTGGGCAGCACGGCCTCCTCCCCCGCGAGCAGACAGCCTGGACCGAGCTTCGCCGATTCCCCACCCAGTTTCCAGGCCCAGACACCGTGGGGGTAAGACCGCTTGTCCATCCTTTCTGTTTTTAATCCATCCTGCTTTATCCAGTACAGGGTCTCATAGGGTCTGGATAAGGAGTCCTATCCCAGCAAGCAGTGGCCATGGCGAGTTACATCCTGGCCGAGATGCCAGTCCATCACAGAGCAGGCATAAACACACACACGCTAACATCAGGGCCGATTTTCCGTGAAGCCAGTTCACTTTAGAGCACGTCTCTGGACTGTGGGAGGAAAACCAACCCCTGGAGGAGACCCATATGAACACAGGGGGAACATTCAAACTCTACGCAGATAGCCTCCCAGGTCTGGAATTGAACCCAGGGCCCCAGTGTGGCGAGGCAGCAGTGCTAAGTGCTGTACCACTGTGCTATTGTGCTGCCCCCTTTTGTAATCCATTGTTCCTCAAAACATTTCAAACCGCACGTTACAATACACATTTCATTTATACAGGGACAAGTGTTACCTGAAGCTACTCTTACAAATAAGAACATGAAACCTCAAAAATATTATGTGATAGACTTACATGTCATGCTTGACACTTTTGGACATGGTATTGATATACTTAGTTTGTCTTCTAGATGTTTTCAGGATATACACGGCTTCTTCTGTGGTAGCAATTGATTTGTGAAATTGCTACCATGTCATTTTTAAATTGCGATTGTAGCTGCCTTTGAGGCTTTTTAAAATCACCTATTGAATGTATTCGCTACGTATAAAGATATTAAGATTCTGTATTTATCTCTTCTGGATGTGACACCGTAGAGCTATTTAGTAAAAGTAGTTAAGTTGTTTGTTCCAGAGTTAAAGTAAAAATATAAAAAGGAAGTTGATTTTTTTTTTTCCACCCTCAATTTTTTATAAAATTTACAGCCCCTTTCTGTTCTTTCTCTTATAATTTGACATTCCAGGAATGAAACTACCGATGGAAACCTGCTACAGAGCAGAATGACGCAGAGTGTTGCCCATAATCCATTTGAGGAAGCCTTCAGCTCCTTTTTTGCCCCCAAATCCAGCTCTGCCTCTGCCGTGAAGGGCAGCCCTCCCTTCCAGGAGCTCCGAAACCTGCTCACGGCTGATTGTCCTAAAACAGCTGGACACCCCGCGGTCCTCCAGAGCCCGTCCTCTCCCACCGCTCAGCCCTGCCTTCCCAAAGCAGAGCCGGGCAGGACAAGCCCGGACAGGATTGATGCGGACCAGGGACCGAGCCCGAGGGACGACCTGAAGTCCTTGCACGCCAGCGGCAGTCCAGTTAATACGAATGGTATGTTCTGTATGCCCACCCTTTCCCTAATATGAGCTTTTTGTTGTTTGTCCATTTCAAACATTGTGTGTGCACCAGAACTGCTGTGTTTTATAGGTATTATATACCTGTAGTGTAGTATAATATTTCCCACTTCCTCTTACACGCCCGTCGCCAACCCAAGAACTTTACTACTAATATCTCACGCTAGCTTATTTTGATGTTTAATTTGAATTTGCCTCAAAAGTGCACAGTCGCCTTTTCCTGGCAGGAATCGATGACCGTGAAACATGGAGCTCTTTCTTCTCTGCTTTTAGTTTTGTGTCTGAAACGCTCATGAGGACAGTCTTAATGTGTGACTTCCATCTCCTGTGTACACGCAACATGCAACACGACACTTCGGTTGCACCACAGAACCAATATGTAAACTTGTATTTTTCTTGTGCAGCATTTCTAAACCTGTGCATCCCGCCCATTTCATATCTGATGGCATGCTGGTGTAGTGCATGCTTGAACACCAGTTCAGTTTGTTTGTCATATGCACAGGTGCGATGAAATGCTTATTTGCATGTCTTGTATGCTCCAATACAAAGACATTAAGGAATCGCCAAAACCTAAACACAGAACGGCAACAGCACCAGCAGAAAGTTAAATAACATACAGCTTTAGAAAAGCAAGAGTAGGAGAGAGACGCAAAAGACAAGCAGTGTGAGAAGAGAAAAAACACATGAGTGTGAGCAGGACCGTGGTATTGCTGGGCTGTAGACAGTGCAGCATGGCCGCTCCCAATCGAACGGGTGATCCGTCTTTCCCGGCAGCGCTGCCACCGAATTCCATTCTGAACGATGCCGCCGCGGTGGAGAGGCTGCAGCACACGGGCGAGTCCTTCCTCCAGGACGGCTCCTGCAACAGCATCGCGCCGCACCTCCACAAATGTCGGGAGTGCCGGCTGGCCAGCTACCGCCGCAGGAGCAGCCAGTCGGACACCACCGTCTTCTGTCGCTTCTTCCTCTTCAGGAGGTGAGCGCTCCTCTTCTCTCTTCCCGGACCCCCCGGGGACGCAGGCGCTGGTCGGGAGTGGATCCCGAAAAGAGAGGCTTTGACTTCTTCTGTGAGGCGAGATGTTCTGGCACAGGGTTCAGGAGTTGAATGGGATTTGTTGTCAGGGATGAGCAGTAGAGTTGAGGTATTTTTTATTATAGATTGCTGCCAGTGCGGAATCTATTGACCCTCTGATGTGGACAGGGTGCATCTCTACAGCACAGTGTCCCTGGCCAGCATACTGTGGTATAGGTTTGGGAATTTTGGTCCAAGGGGAGGAGTGTGCCATACTGGGGCACCATCACCACGTACAACAGCAATATGGTTTTCCTTAGAGGTCTCAAATCCCAGCACGGCTGAGATGCATTGCTAAGGTTTCGAGATATGATAAGATCATGCTACAAGGTGGTTATACTACTGTCAGGAAATCTGTCACAATGTTTTGAGGGCAAGAAGTGTAATCTTCTTGGTATTTTGATAAATCAGTTGATTTACAGGTGTAGTGACAGACGTTTGGTTTTGTATTACCAAGGCAGTGTTTTTCTTTGTCTTTTTGGGATTGTGGTTCAGATGTACTAGAATTTATAATGCAGTATTACTTTCTTGAGGCAAACTACTTTCATAAACTGAGTACTTCAGGTTCTGGGCTTTAAAAGGTTATTGGATATTATGGTTTTGTTATTAGATAGTAAACCTGTGATACACGGGCCGGGGCTCTGATCATGTAGGATATAATTAGGCTGTTACTATACATCTACTGTAAGTAGCAGTAGCAAATGTATTAATGTTTAGATATCATGAGCTCCAGTGTATATGCAGCAACACATTAGCCAAATAATAACATCTCCAGTGTGAATCTAGAAGTCACGCGAAACACCAGATATTGAGATTGTTTTAAAACCCAACTTTATCAGGCTTTCATTGTAGTCCAGTTTTAGAAGTATTGCATTTAACCTTGAAGTTGTAATGTCAGTATATAGTATTCTTTTTAAGGGATCTTTGTATAAAAGTGCTTTGGCACGAACGCGTCTTTGATAACAACTTCTTTATATAAAACTCATACAAAGCATTTTCCTTGAATTCACAGACTTTTCTTGCATTAAAGACGTAATTGATACAAACCGAATTTCAGTGTCAATTTTCACTTGACAAAATATAATGTTCATATTTAGTCTGTGTTTAAGGCCACAGATATCAAGAGTATAATTTAGAGTATTCCTAAGAAAGGAGAAGTGGTCTTGAGTTCACGCTGTGTGCTGGGTACTGATGACATTCACAATCTCCCCTGTGTCTGCAGGCTTCAGTTTACAAAACATGGTCTTCTACGAGAGGGAGGTTTCCTGACCCCCAGTAACTATGGCCCCGACGCCCTCAGCCTCTGGATGCCAGCCAGGAGCCGGGTGAAGGGCCTGGACCTGGACACTGCCAAATACATCCTGGCCAACGTTGGGGATCAGTTCTGCCAGCTGGTCATGCAGGAGAAGGAGGTCATCTCTTCCATACAGCCGGATGGTAAGTCTAAAGTGACATAGTGTGAGAAGATGCAGCTCCGTAGACGCACAGGGCAATTGTCAGCTGCAGTGTGGGAGTAAAGGAGATGTTGAAAGTGAACCACAGTTAAACAGGACTAAAAGACTTATGATTTCATGATGTGTTAGACTTCTACCTTGTAGCAGCTTGAATAAGGCATAACTGTAACATTGCTTGCATAGTGGAAAAGCTTAGTGCGTGACAGATGTTAAAAATGAAACCGATGTTATTAGTTCAGGTACTCGCTCAACTGAGCCTTCATTTCACTGATCGTTTATCTGTTTTCCTTATGTGTGATTTGATGTGTTTGTTTTCCCAGTGGCGATAGTATGGAAGCGCGCGGTCTGTGGAGTGCGGGACATGTGCGATGTGTGCGACACCACTCTGTTTAACATCCACTGGGTCTGTCCTAAGTGTGGCTTCGGGGTCTGTCTGGATTGCTTCAGGAACAAGAGCAACAGCGGTAAAATTCCACTTCTATACATCTTCACACACAAAGGAGTTTACAGATTTGAGCACAGGACATAGATCAGGATAAGTCTTTCTCCGGCAAAACAGTACTTGAGTGCCATAGAATCTGCCCAGCAAGGTTTCAGAAAAAAAGTAATTATTCTAGATCCAATTCTGACGTCCATGAAGTGTCCGTTTCAATGTATTTTTAAAATGTAGCAGATTGGATAGCAGATTATTTAGAGGCAACAATTTGAACTTTAAATTTTAAAATGTGCTATATAAATCCTGAGAATTATTAGGGAAGCAGAAAAACCTGGCAGGAACTGTTGTGAACCATGGATTTCTTGCATAAGCAGGACACGCTGTCTGAAGGTGGATGGTATATAAACAGATGTTTACATGTGTGGAGGGTTTACTTTGTCTTCAAACAGTAATTGTGGGGGAGATCCTAAAAACATTTTACTGATATTTTTGGATAATTGTTGCTTGAATTTGTAAAATAATGGTTTTCAATGTCATGGTTCACAAAACTGACCTTCCCCCAGTGCTTTCCAAAATGTATTAAATAATTTCTTAAAGTTAGCTTTTTTTAAATTGCTATTCTTCATCCCATGCACATTATCTACATTACATAGAAGATAAAAATGTTTTTTGTGCATTCTCACGAGTGGAACAATACATCCTTTGCTTTCTAAATCATGTGTGACTTTGGTTCCTCCTAGCAGAGAGAAGAAGTTCTCTGTTCTCCTGGATGAAGTGTGTGAGAGGACAGCCACACGAACTGGACCACTTGATGCCAACACAGATCATTCCTGGAACAAGTAAGAAAAAAATATTGTTAATTTTTTTTTTGACAATCCTTACCATGAATCAGAAATGTGTCTTGTAATTGCTGTAAAGACAAATCCAGCAATACTTATGCAACTGGGTGTAACGTAAGCCTGCATCTGTCAGGCCAACTCATTTGGATTTTTTTTTTGCAGCTCTCTATGATTTTTGTGACATAGTTCATTCTGTGAGAGGGAAATGGGGGATTAAGGCAAACTGTCCGTGTTCCAGCCGCCACACGAGAGCCACTTCGAAGCCACTGCTGAAAGAGGAAAGGAAGCCCCAGGTACTGGATATACTGGAAAATTAAGGAAAGGAGCACAATGTGAAGTATTTAGAAGTGGTCTTAAGAATGGACTGTGTAGGGGATGCAAAGTGGCTAAGGTGGTAAAGGCAGTCACTAGTACCCTGTGATTCGGCATGGGCCATGCCACCAGCTGTCTGTCTGGGACAGCTGAGTGAGGCCAGGAACACCCCAATCGGCAAGATCGGGTGGGATTTAAAATAAGTTATAATTATTGTGGACAAATAGCATAAAGCAAGTAGATGGGACTTGGCAGGTGCTTAAGAGATTTATGGAACTAATTCACAAAAATATTATATTAAAGTTGTATTATTTTTCTCCTTAGAATATAGCCCTGTTAGCAAATCCCTTGCTGGACTCCTCACTGCGTAACAAGTCTACAGATGCAGTTCCTTCCACTTCAGCCAGTGCTGCTGTTGTAACAACTTCTGATCCGGTGGGCAGACCCCCAGCATCCCTCAACCACACCCCCCTCAGCTGGCTATCTGCACTGGGCAGCCACAGTGTGAATAAGGAGAACAAGGGTAAGGTTTTGGAAAGGTCACACGATGAGCAGACTCAACTCGGAACAAGCCACAAACACACAAGTCTTTGTCTGTGTTCTCTGGAGCAGTGTATTTCAGTCCTGGACTTGAAGTACTCCTGCGTCTGCAGGTTTTTGCTCCAGCCAAGTTCTTAATTACATACTAATTTATTTCAGTTTGATCGCCTTTTAAGAGCTGCTTAGTCCAAAATAAGTGAGTAAATTCTTAATTATTGAGGATGGACTAGGCAAAGTACTGTAGACCGAAGTTGTCGGAAACACTACAGGATGTTTTTGAAATCAAGAACAGAGTACAGAACAAAATCTACAGATCCGTTACAGGAACTAATTAACACAAGTGATTAAGAGGCTCAGATGGAACAAAAACCAGCAGGCACTAGGGTGTTCCAGGAAAAGGACTAAATATCCGATATTTAGAGGAAGCCAGTTCTACACTTATTTGCATTGATTCTCTCACAGGGAGTAATCTCATCACTCCTTCAACTAATGAGCCCAAACGCCACAACTCCTCATCACCGCTCAGCTCGCTGTTCATCAAACCTTCCCACAGCCTGCAGACCTTCAACGGTTCGGTTTTAACATCGGTGACCAACAAGAACACAGGGAGCCTCCGCAGCTTGCTCAACGGAGAACAGGTACCTGCCCAGACCCAAGCGCAGGGAGGAGAAGAATGGCACTGACAAATGTCCAGTTAGAATCCTAAAATTTCAAGGAGACACTCTTGGCACGATTACGCACCAAACAGAATCAAAGATGGTTTGAGTTTTTTTTTTTAAAACATAGAAAGCAGTCTTCTATATTTCAACGTTTCATTAATGGATCAAATGACTTGTTAGAACAATAAATCCATTTTAAAGTTGAGGCGGAAGCCCTGCACGGAGAACTTTGTTTTAACAGTTTTGGTATTGTTTTTTGTATGTCCTACTAACGGGTTTCGATTTTTTTCCAGAACGAGACGGGAACGAAAAGCACACCAAAAATCCTTGACGACATCTTTGCCTCAATCGTGCAAAGCAAAGTCCCGGGCGAGTCTCCGTCCAGACGGACCGATCCCAGAGACGCGGTGTGTAAGCCGAGGTCCGTGCTGAACCCCAGCGTGGTGAGCACAGACGTGCCTCATTGCTGGCTCTGTGATGGCCGCCTGCTCTGCCTGCAGGACCCCACGCACAGGAACAACTGGAACATTTTCAGGGAGTGCTGGAAACAGGGACAGGTGGGATGACATTTTCTTTTTCTTTTTGGGGATTTTGTTTGGGGTGGTTTCTATTTTGAATATCCCAATTAGTTTTCATTGCAAAACTTTCGACCCTGTTTTTTGTTACACAACTCACAAAATGTGAAGAGAATCAACGTACAAATCCATTTTTGGTGCTCAAATTCTTTGGTTAATTCAACATGTACCACGCAACAAAGGTTGAGCTGAAAGACTTATCATCCCACTTTTGCAAAGTGAGGATGTTATTAAAGGAGTCATGGCAGGGCAGTGGTCAGCATTGCTGCCTCATACCGCTGTGGCCCAGGGTTCAGTTCTGGACGAGCTATCTGTGTATGGAGTTTGTATGTCTTGTGTTCACATGCTTTTCCTCCCCCAATCCAAAGACATGCTGGTAGGGAATTTGCCTTCTGAGAAAACTGTCCCTGTTGTGAGTGTGTGCGTTTTTGTCTGCTCTACAGTTGACAGACGTCCTGTCCAGGGTGTACCCTGCCTTGTGCTCTTTGCTTGTTGGGATAGGCTCCGGCCCCCCTGTGACTGTGTAAATTGGAAGAAGCCGTTGTCTTACCCATTCTGGTCTTTGTCTCTCTTTGTCTCTCTTGCGGCTCAGCCCGTGATAGTGTCAGGGATGCACACAGTGCTGAACTCAGAGCTGTGGAGACCCGAGACGTTCAGTGAGGAGTTTGGGGATCAGGAAGCGGACTTGGTCAACTGCCGCACGAACGCCATCCTGTCTTCCACCACGGTGGGCGACTTCTGGGACGGCTTTGAGAACATATCACGTACGTTCCTGGCATTCAGCTTTTAAAATCGTTATTGGCAGCCATTCTTTATAAGTAGAACCTTCCCTTTCAGTGATTCAGAAAATACAGATTGTCTTGAGCTATGAGATGTTGTAATACAAAAAATAGAAGACCTACAGCTCAACTGTTGATCTGTGAGTACGTATTTAAGTTTGGAATACCCCATTGGTTTTTGTTTTTACTAACCTACTTTGGGATTTCCAAAATTCAATCCGTTTGGCTTGCTGGTGCAACCCGCATTCCAGCACAGGACGAGTGGGCATCATGCTTGCTTTCTTTGGAAGTGTTTCTTGCAGTCTGAGCCCCTCAGAACCTGCAGCAGAGTAAACATCAGCTGGAGCAATGAAGTCACAGGGGATACTATAGTGCGGAGCAGTGGCTAAAGATCTGCGCCTGTGGCTGGAAGATTGTCTGTTCAAATCCCGTGGCCAGCAGTGGAATCCTACTCCGTTGGGCCCCTGAGCAAGGCCCTTAACCCCAGCTGCTCCAGGGGCACCATATAAATGGCAGACCCTGCACTCTGACTCCAAGCTTCTCTCCCTGTCTGTGTGTCATGGAGAGGAAGTTGGGGTATGCGAAAAGACTGATTCCTAATGCAAGAAATTGTATATGGCTTATAAAGTGATCTTATCTTATAGTGTTGTGTGGCTACATAGCCAGACTACAGGGCTCATCCTGCACACAAAAGCTATACAGGAGACCTTGTTTCTTCACCCCCCGCCCCCCACCCCCAAGATAATTTTATTCTATGAAAATGTGCTGTTTTATTGGTGGTATTGTTAGATCAGCATCAGAAAATAACACTGAATGTGTTTGTTAGTCTTAACGCCTCATCTCCAGACTGAAAACCGTCTCCACTCCTCCTTTCCCAATGAGCCCCTGCTCTGCAGGCGTAATGTGCAATGCTTTGCTGTGGGTGGTTCGTGTGGGTGACCGGTGTGGGGTTTCGGGGGTCTTGCAGGGCGCCTGAAGAATGAGGAAGGGGAGCCCATGGTGCTGAAACTGAAGGACTGGCCCCCCGGGGAGGACTTCAGGGACATGATGCCGTCTCGGTGAGCAGGCTTTTCTTTACACTTCCTTCAGCACAGAGCGCGGAACGATCTGCAGACTGCATGCGCTAATACTGCCGTCGCAACAGAAATCAAGACATGCAATAGATCACTTATATTATTTTCGTAAACTTTTCCTGTAGGAATTTCTATCTCATATTGGTTTTTGTGCCCCATTGTAAGCAGGAGACTGGGGAATTCAGGGCTATTTTTCATTTCATTTTACACCCTTTTAAAAATGGGAAAGCCTCAGTGTTTGTTTTTGAACAAAGTGAAGATGGATGGCTGTTAATCATAAACTAGGTCTAGGTTTCTGGTATAATGTAACATTTTTATTACACATGGTTCCTGAATTAAACATGCCAGGTGACATTAGCAGGACTAGATTTACCAATTAGAAAGGTTGTGAAGGAGAGGTAGACATTCAGTCCATCCATGCTGTTTTACGTTACAAGAATTTATTTAATGTCATACATTACTATATAGCACTCATTCTACTGTTGTGTAAGGCAGGACCTGTCAGTACAGGTTTAAGGCAAATTATTAGTTCACCTGAAAACTAGCCAAGTGGCTGGGACAAGGGTCTCAATAGTGTTTATCTAGGGTTATTTAAGGTATTTGCATTTGATCATTTTTAATACTTTTAATTAACCTAAGGAAAGTGTAACCCAACTGCCAGATCCGGAGTGTCAAAATTGGGTTAGGCCACCAGAGGGTGGTGTAGAGACCCTCTTGAAGTGGAGAGAAAAGGAATTGTCCCCGAAAAAGCATACTGGCTTCACTGTTTGGAAGGCAGTTCATCTATGTAACTTGAAACTTTCCTTATATGGTTCATTCAGATTTAAGAAAGATCTCAAGGGTAGACAAGCACTGAGTAAAAGTTTAGCAAGAACAGGAGAAGGGTCTTTACGAGTAGCAGCCTTGGTCATTGCTGTGTCTACCAACTTCCTTGCCTCACTGGATGGCAGAGCAAGTCCATCCAATTGGGATTGACTGAGTCGAGTTACTTTCCACTGCTATTCACTAAAGACCGCGAAGGGGGCAGGTGTGTAAGAGGCAGACCAGATTCATGTGGGAAGATCGTATTTACATCAGTGTTGGTCCATCCTCTGCTTAAATCCCCTAGAAGGTTTTTTCATGTGCAGATCCTCCACTCTGTGCTATCAAACAAGGGAGTGTTTTTTTCATAGTCCGCTAACACTGAAAGCTCTTGTTTCTGAGATACTTTTGTTTTTAAAGTTTTTGTTTTGCACTCTTGAGTGAAGCCAAGCTCTCTTTGTCCTTCAGGTTTGATGACCTCATGAACAACATTCCTCTCCCAGAATACACCAGGCGAGATGGCAAGTTGAACCTGGCGTCCAGGCTCCCAGAGTTCTTCGTCCGGCCTGATCTGGGTCCGAAGATGTACAACGCCTATGGTGAGTTCTGAAGCTTTAAAATATCCCCTTCCTTCTGAACTGGATAGAATTTCACAACATAACTTACAGAAAAAATGACGTTCTTGCTTTTCAGGTCTTATAACGGATGAAGACCGCAAGTATGGCACTACCAACCTCCATCTGGACGTGTCTGATGCTGCCAATGTCATGGTGTATGTGGGGATCCCTGAGGGAGAAAAAGAGCACGAACAAGGTAGAAGCACTGACGGTGACACTGAGTATTTTCTAGTATTTTCCGAGTGGAGAGCCTTTTTTGATTGTTTGGCGATTTCATCCACTTGGCATAAAGATGTTTCCTGTTCAACATCTTAAATTTCATTTTAGCTTCAATGTATCCTTGTTTCCGTACTGAGCCAGAAGCTGTCCCAAACTATACCACTTGTATCGCATTTCCTTTCCATCTCCTCAGTTCTGGTTTTAGTAGATTTATTTCCCTTACCCTGTCTTTGAAAGGCAATCCCCTGAAAATCAGGAACCATTCTTGAAGTTTTTATTTGAATTCTTTCCAAGGCTACAATATTATTTTAGTGGAATGGTGAGAAAAGGGTGAGCATGATATTCCTGACCTAAACAACCTAGAACAATCTGTATAAACCCCCAGATGCTTCTCATTCATAGCCTTCAGCAGTGCAGAATTACCCACGTGATGTGTGTAGTATGTTTGGGTCACTTTGTACTTGTCTACTCAATCCATGATCTTTCCAAGTCTGCTGGAGCCTCTTCTGTCACCCACTCACCTGTTTTTGTACCTTCAAAATGAACTGGCTTGCTATGTGTATCAGAGCCTGAATAGTTGATGTTGGTCGAAGCTGGAAGAAGAATGTTTTATAGCAGTCCAAAGGGCTACATGCACCTGGAAATGTGCCCTTTAGCTTCCTGTTCCATCCTGCAGCTATTCACTTGTTTTCCTCAGCCATTGAATAGTAGGAAGTAGTTTTCGTAGAGTGGGCACAAACATAATGGAGAATCTATTATATGAATTTAAATCCAGACTTGTAAATTAAGTTTTATTTATATTCATTCCTACATTGCATTGTGAATTTAAGTAAATATCCGCATTTTAGCGATTTCTTTTTAAATAGCATTTCAATGATCTTCCCCACCCAGCTGTGCTGCAGACGATAGAGGATGGAGACGTAGATGCACTGACCATAAAACGGATGGTTGAACTGGGGGAAAAGCCCGGAGCTCTGTGGCACATTTATGCAGCCAAGGATACAGATAAGATTCGGCAGCTGCTTTTAAAGGTAAAAGACTGGTTTATCATGGGATTTGATTTTGGTTGGCGTGAAAAACTTTCATGATTGAAGTCTGGTATGACTGTGTGTTCACAGATCGTGTTGTATTGCATGCAGTTGGTTCAATTTTCATGGCTGAGTAACTAAACACCAGCGATAGAAACTTGTAACTGCAGATAATTGCGGGTGTCATGAAATGTCCAGTAGTAAAGTATATCGTCATCTGCGAAGTTTTTTTGCTGTAGCTCAGTGATGAAACTTCGGTGGTGGCTTCTGAGCCCTGAAACCATGTTTTTCCCAGCCTGGTCCCAGGCCTCGTTTCACCAGAAAAGTAAAGATAGGGTTTGGCTGTGAAGGGGCCAAACCACCAAACCGTTCCGGGGATAACCAGCGAGGTCACTGGATCTTTCAAGTCCAAGATGTTCAGAGGTTTGAAGTGGCGGGTGGTGTGTCTCCAGGTGGCCGAGGAGCAGGGAGAGGAGAACCCGCCAGACCACGACCCCATCCACGACCAGAGCTGGTACCTGGACCGGGTGCTGCGCCGCCGCCTGCTGCAGGAGTATGGGGTGCAGGGCTGGGCCATTGTCCAATTCCTGGGGGATGTCGTCTTCATTCCTGCCGGGGCGCCGCACCAAGTAAGAGCCGGGCTGGCATTACCTCTAGACGAGTGAGCGCATCGCTGCACTGCACTCTGGATTTTAATGGCAGGCACGCTTGTTTGTAAGAACTTTCTGCTTCTCCCCCCAAGGTGCACAACCTCTACAGCTGCATCAAAGTTGCAGAAGACTTTGTTTCGCCAGAACACGTGAAGCACTGCTTCCGCCTTACTCAGGAATTCAGATACCTCTCGAGCACTCACACCAACCACGAAGACAAACTGCAGGTAATTCCGCGCTCGCCACAGCCTTACCCACTGCTCTTTACCGTTTTACCTGCTGGGAAAGCTTTGTTATTATAGCCACTTGTGTACTGACATGTTATTTTCCATAAACGTTATTTTGTAAAGAATCTTTTTTGAGGGTGGCCCAGTGGTTAGCATCACTGCCTCACAGTTCTTGGGCCCTGTGTTAGATTCCAGACCTGGTTGCATGACAAGAAGAAAATAAAAGCTAAGTGAAGTGTTAGTATAAATAATAACACTACAGGTTATATAAGTTGCTATTAATTCTGTCCACTTTGTATACTTCAATATGTATATTATGGACATATAATACAGTATTACAACAGAGGATGCAGCACAGTCGTTCCACATTCCAGACCTTGGCTGCCATCTGTAAAACCCCATTAACTACTGTATTTCAGAGGCAACGAAAAGCTTCAGAAGGTCTGTGTAAAAAGCTTAACAAGTTTGTGAGTTGTTCAGTTGTGCTTCATGTGATTTTTAATTTCTTTAGAGAATTATGTTGCTTGCTTGAAAATAAAGGAAAACTAAAATGAGAAAAAACCTGAAATCAGTCATCTCCAATTGACTGTATTTTTTCCCTTGCAGGTGAAGAACGTGATCTACCATGCAGTGAAAGATGCAGTCTCCATGCTTAAAGCCCATGATGTTATTAAGCCTTCTGATTAAACTTCCAGTATGGACTGTTGCACTGTGCTTATGGCAGCTATGGTTGAGAAATTCCTAAAGCATCATTAAATTGGAAGAGTTATTGTTTCTGCATGGTTGTAATATACTTTATTTAAATTCCTGATATACATTCAGAGTACAGATCTGTGTGTCCTACGTTAAATATAAACTGAATATTTCAGAAGTGATATTCGAGTACAGTTGCTTTTTATTCTGCTTAAACGAAGCGATGCAATATGCAGTGATTCAGAATATGCTTACATGTAAATGGATGGACTTGTATCATAACTATACACTCTTCTAGCAAAAACTACAATGTTTAAATGTAAGGGGATTTTCCGCTTTAAGTCTTGGTATATATATATATAAATATTTTGGAGGAAAATAATTTATTTTTAAAAGGAAATGTCTGGGTTCTTAAACAAATTGATGTAGTGAAACAAAGTGGCTTAATAGTCCCAGAAATCTGCTACAGTATTTGAATTAAAAAAAAACACTGAAACATGGCAGTTCAAAGTCCCAGCACTATATAAGTTTAAATAAATTTTCATTGTGATGACTTTTCAATGAGGTTATTGTGCCAATGTGTGTATTTTTTTAACTGTTCAGTAGTAAGTACACATATTTTGAGAGCAGTACAGAAAGTATTCTGAATGTTCTGAATAAATGTTTTTAATCTGTTCTTTTTGTTTTTCAAAAAGACATTTACAGCTACAGTGCTCAGTATTCACCCCCTTGAATTTATTTTCATTATGTTCCTGTTACATCTCCAAATTTTAACACATTGAAATACATTTTTCTCAGTTCAATAACAAAAATTCAACACATTAATGAAAGTTTTTTTTTATTATTCAAAAGCATTCATTTCTCTAGAATGAAAGACTTACATTACTCATTTACAAAATTATTCCCCCTTCCACCAAGTCAATGCGTTGTACATAGTCCTTTATCAGCAATTATAGCTGTGAGTCTTCTTGGGTATGTCTGTATGAGCTTTGCACATTTAGATTGTGGAATTTTTGCCCATTCTTCAATGCAAATTTGCTCCAACTCTTGCCAAATTACATGGAGAGCGTTGGTGGACAGCAGTTGTCAGGTCATACCACAGATTTTCAATTGGATTCAAGTCTGGGCTCTGGCTGGGGCATTCCAGAAAACTAACCTTTTTTCAAGCCATTCCTTGATAGTTTTTGCCATGTGCTTTGGGTCATTGTCTTGCTGGAAAATGAATCTTTGCCCTAAATGCACATCTCTGGCTAACTGAAACAGGTTCTCCTCAAAGATTTGCCTGTATTTGGCTCCATCCATGTTGGATCCAGTTCCTCCTGCTGAAAAGCAACCCCAGAGCATGATGCTGCAACCAACATGTTTGACAGTAGGGATGGTGTTACCTGGGTGCTGGGCTGTATTTGGTTTGTGCCAAACATAGCACATTGCTTTCAGGCCAAAGAGCTCAACTTTAGTCTCATCAGACAACAGAATTTTCTTCTAAAAGATTTCGGGTTTTATCACATGGCTTCTAGCAAACTCCAGGCGTGACTTAATGTTGGCCTTTCTCAGAAGTGGCTTCCTTCAATCCACTCTCCCAAAGATGCCGATTCTGTGAAGTGCTGAAGTGATTGTTGATATCTGGACAGTTTCTCCCATTTCAACCAAAGAGCTCTGCAACTCTGTCAGTGTTGTATCTGGCCTCTTGGTCACTTCTCTGGCAATTGCCCTTCTTGTCCAGTACTCAATTTGGTAGGACAGCCTGATCTTAGTAGTGTCTGGGTTTTGCTATATTTTTTCCATTTGTTTTTACAATGGACTTCACGGTGCTCCTAGGAAGGTTTAACGGTTTGCCAATCTTTTTATAACCTTGTCCGGCTTTTATCCTCCTAACAACTTCATCTCGAAGTTCCACGGGCAGCTCCGTGGTCTTCATGACAACAGAACTGATCTGATCTGCTGTTTTAGTTGTGAGACCTCACCAAGTTGATATTTATTGTGCAATCAAGCAATTGAACACAGGTGTACCTTGTTAATGTATTTAGGGTGATCTCTCAAGACAATTGAAAACTTCACCCAATTTAGGTTGTTAAAACAAAGGGGGTGAATACTTATCAATTAAGTCATTTTCAGATTTTTATTTTTAATATAATTCTGAAGACATCAAAATACTTTTTCATTCTAACATTATAGATTTTTTTGCCCTCGTTATGATTCCAAAAATGCAATGCAAATGCAAAATAAACTGAATACAAAATAAAGCAGTTCTGTTAGTTGTACAGGAGTGAACAATTTGTATGTTTGAAAGAAAATGAGCAGACTAATGCTAAATGTTTCATATACCACCACCATAGTACCTGACCCCTTGTATCTCAAATGAATTGAGACAGAGAACATGTCGCTTATCATTGAGGAATAAGCGGAACCGTATCGGTGTATAATCTTGTTTCATAGATGGTTTTCAAAGCTCAAATCTGCAACTGGTGCAGTTTAATGCAGTAACAAAATGCTGCCATTCTAATTATTTTGAATGTAGAAATCTTGTTAAATGTGGAAAATTGAATTTTCCAAGGTAACTATGTACAATATTACCTGTTACAAAATGTGTAGTCTATTTTTTTTAAGTTAAAACTGAACCAACAAAGTGTAACAAATTAACAGCAGCTTTGGATCCTGAATGCCTTTAAGGTTCTTACCCTATCATTGATATAGAGCAAGGAAACCTTTGTCGGAAAAGGGACATTTCTTGTGAGATGATGAGATTATAATTGTCTCCTAAAATTCAGGCAAAGCATTTCATTCTTTAACAAATTTAATTTAAAATTATTTGGTTCTTCTGTTGGAATTTCTAATCATACGTTCACATACAAATCTGAGAGGACACAAAGAAAACTTCTGGAGTGCAGTAATCTTGGTAGACAGAGCGTAAGGGTGCAGTGTAACTCATCACTGATGACTTTTCAGCAAGAACATGAGAACAATATGGAGTATCCAGTCCTTAACTTTTGAACTCTTGTTGTATTAGTTCCTTTCTCCAACACCTAGTCAACCATAAAAATGTGAAAGCATTCTACCACCATGTCCCTCACTGAATACTCAAACTTAGAATACTTAGTACTTTGTGTAGATTGAGTTCTAACTGCATTTGATTCAAAGTTAGTTTTTAATGTGTTTGTGAAACCATTTCATGAAAGGCTGGCAACTCAATGGAAACAATCCTGGTTTGAGGCAAACTAGAAGGAAAACTAGAGGCAGCAACCTCCTTTTTCTCAAAGTCACCTATAGCTTGACACTTCTTCTTCTGTAAAGAGTGTAATCTTGTAGAATGACCATCTGCTGAAAAGTACTTTAAAAACTGCAAAAATGCACAATAAATGTATATAAGAGATGTGCATACTATTGTTGAAGCAGTTACATCTTATTTTATCATTTTTACAAGGAAGACGCAATGTTTTGCAAACATTCCATTTGTCAAAAGAATATGTGGTCTTTTCCCTTGAACCTGAAAATTAAATCACTTTAGAAGGTGGCGGTTTCAAATCAAGATTACTGTATTTCAAAACGCAAACTTGCAGGAGCATTTCTTCATCCCAAACCTCACATCTTTTTTTTTTTAAATGGAAATTCAAACCAATGGAATATCAAAATAAAATCTCTGCAGTTACACTTACAACTTTCAAGATGAAGATGCCCAATAATATTGAAACTTTAGAAATGTATAAGAATGTATAAATTTGTGAATTAGAGTTCAAAACATCCATCAGTCTTCCGATTCAATTTGTGGAAAAAATACTACCAAGAACTTTGCATGCATCCTTTTCCACAACACCTTTCACAAGAAAGGATATAATATATATATATAGTGCCACAATGGCAAGTATTTTTGTACATTTAAATTCTAGTGTTTTTAGAACCAAATCGTCTACCATAAAACTCAGACAAGAACGATATTCATCGAGCAGAAACGGGTAAAGTGCAGGATCTGAGAAAGGAGAGGACGAGGCAGAAAGGCTGAGACGCTAGCAGGAGCTCCCTCACACTGAAGAGGTCTCCACACATGGAGCCGCCAGGCTCTCAGCTGCGCAGGGCTGCCAGCCGGGACTGCATCTCCTCTATGTCCTCCTCCGGTTCGTCCTCCGAGACGGGGGCAGGCCCCGCAGGCTCCATCTCGGGCAGCTCGTCTGTCACTTTACTGGGAGCCTTACCCAGAGCGCCTGGAACGCAACAACGCATGCAAATGTCACTGCTTGCTCCCTCTTTCATCTCAGGTTCTGTCATTCTTCTGGTACTCTCCTGGATTGTTTCCCTACAAAAGCCCCTCACACTAAGAATGGGAGTAACTGAATGTCTCGGAATACGTACTCTGTGGATTTTAAGTCAGACTGTCATTCTAGATCCCACAATCCACTTTGTGCTCTATACATCCTTCCTACTGCACCACCCTCCCCCACAAAGACTCTGCTCAGAAGCCCTGAAGCCCTAATGACAAGACAGGAAATCATTTGGGATCTAACCTTTATGGAAATGATAATCAAGGATTTTGAAAGGGATCACAAGTGTGCTGAACAAGGTTCTCTGAGCCAGTGTATTTAATATGTAAAAGGAGTATTAGATCTTGATGTTGTATACTTCCCAACTTTTTCAAAGTAGACAACTCTAAATTCCTTTCCATCTCTGAAAACGAAGGCTGGTACTATCTTTAAAGGCCGTACAACTCTCTCAAAAATCTTTGGACAAGAAGATGGTTACCTGCTGTGATCTCAAAGAGGATCCTGTCCACCTCCGCCTCTGCTGCCTCCTCCATCTCTTCCTCATCCTCCATGCCTTCAAAAGTGTCCTCCAGCATCTCTTCGATGATCCCAGCCTGGGGGCAGGAGCACTCACAGCGTCACACACATGGACTGCGCCATACACGATCAACAGCTCTCCAATACTGGAAGTGCATGCAGAGAGCCCCTTCATTACTTCATTGGAACATTTCACACTGTATGTCATTAAAGCTGTTTAAATGTAGAAAGGGATTCACATTTCCTTTTTTTCTCTTGTAGCTTCATGGTGTTTTTCAATGTTTTAATTTAACATTTTAAAAGTATTTCTTCACAGAGAAATACCACTGGTAATGTTTCAGGAGTGATGGCAATACTGTATATAAAAACCTTACACATAAAAAAGAGTGTGAGAGTGTTCATTCACAAAATCACTCAGAGGGCAGAACAGCAGACTTTGGCAAACATTAAGGCTGTAAACAAGAGGCCACACGGTCCACCTAGCTTTTGTGTGAATACCTAATTCATCCAAGGATCTTATCCAGCCATTTCTTCAAAGAAGCCAGAGAATCAACAAGGTGTCTCATTCCAAAAAAAGATTGCAAGCCTTCGTCAAAGTCAGAACTGCATTCTGATTATTAAATATGTAAGTATAAAGAGTCCATAATGCACTGCACACAAGAACAAACACGGTGTAAACTGAAATTATCACAATATGGTGGGTTGCCCACTCCTGGTGATAAGAACTGATGGGAGAGAAGAAAGTGTAAAAATCTAAACAAGGCAAGGCGAACATTTTCAAGGAAAACAAACACGCCTGGGAAGCCTCTCTTTTGTTTGTGAAAACGTAATTGACCAAAAAACAAATACTACAGATATCCACATGTCTGAAAACAAGGGAAAATCTTCCTTTTGTAGGGGTTTAAAGGTTCTGACTCATGTCTTCAGCAAACAAACTCATATCTGTGGTGTCAAACAATGATTAGAACTGACCCTACCTGAGTAAATAAATTAAACAGCCAGCTTTCCCTCAGCCTCACCCTCTCTAATCTTCTCTCCTTACTAAACTCGCCATTCAGCTCATGTATTGGGGGTGGGTCTCACTTTCTCTGTGGAGGATTTGCAGGGCTGAGTGTCTGACCTGCCCTCACCTTCATCATTTCCTTGGAGAGCTCCCTCATGGTGGCCTGGATCTCGGGGACCTTCACCAGGCTCTGCATGGCCTTCATCACGTCCGTGCTCTTCTGCAGGGCCCCCGCCACGCGCAGCACGGCTGGCAGACATGACACAGCCACACGTCAAGACTCGGCCAGCACTCGCAGCTCCAGCCTCCCACACACCTCCATTTTCTGTCAGGACTTTCTGCTTTATCATCTCCAGGTCCGTCTCCCACCTCTGTTTTTTTAACTACAGGTCTTCAATGTTTTAAAGCTTTTTAATACTTGTTAGCTGTATTCCTGTACCATGTAAAACTCAGATGGTCCTTCTGCTAATGGACCTCTCCCATTGATCTGTCAGTTTCCTGTCCCCAGTCTAATGGTAACTCAATATACCGTAACACAACAGAGAAGGATGTAAGTTGAACTTGTAAAAGATTTAAATACTTAATATTAGCTATATTATTAAAATCTTACTCAAATACTTTGTAAAGAAACATTCTACATAACCTTTACATCTTTGTACAATATTTACTAAATTCTATGACTGCTTGATGTAATATTGCAATGTCCCTGCAGACAGCAATGACTATTCAACTAAACTTGTCACTCACAACTACTCCACTTTCAAACAGTAATGGAAGAGGCCTAACTAGGATTGATCTCCATCCTGTTTTGTAAACATTCAGCATTCAAGGTAAAGGAGAGGGTAAGCCAGCACAAACATGGCTTTCCTGATTTTCCAGTTATTTGTTCTTTTATGTTTTCCATCACTACTGCACACTCTAAACACCAACTACAAAAAGGTTTTGAGGCAAGGCCACAAATAATCACAGCACATCAAAACCTGCATTATATCTGTCTTTATAATACCTTTCATTTAACCCCTTAAATAACCAGAACAGTCAATATATAATCAACTGAGGAGCTGCAGAACAGCCATTAGACAGCAGGACATTTACTAGAGTAATATTAATGAAATACCCTGTCCCACATGGGACCTGAACTTGTAACTCTCTAGTACAGTCTCGAGCCCTGACTATTGCTCCACACTGCTGCCAAATATACAAATGTCCCCCAAGTGGAACTCTAAAAGTCTCCACCAAATGACACTGGTGTAGTGTGATAAGACAAGCACTACAAACATATCAATTGCAAAAGGTATTCAAGATGGACTTCCAGGATTTCTCATATGAGGCATCCCTCAGTGCCCTGTAGAAAATATGCCCATGGTCGTGGTGCTGAACCAGTTTCCTAGTGGAGGTGCAGAACTATATTCAGTAACTCAGGCAGACTTAAGACTTTTTTAATAAGGGACATAATCCCATCTTTAAAAAAAGAGGAGGATCCGTGAAGCGAATAAAGGAAGTTGGTTAGCAAATTACCAAGCATTTATTGAAATGACTTCTTCAGCACAGGCACAGATAACCAATATGTTCACAACTGTTGTATAATTTTATCTCGTAAGAGTCATTATCAAGGTGCAGAAGTACAGTGGTGTGATGTGTGTGGCGTACTCACAGAGCTGGTTCTTCATGCTGAGCAGCACAGAGTTCATTTGGGCTTTGGAGGAGTACAGTTTGTTAACGGCTCTCTTGGACTGGATCATCTCCTTGGCCAGGATCACACACACATCCTTCTGGCCCTTCTTGGCAGCATCTTTAACGGAGCGTTTTACTTTTTCCTGTTCCCTCTGGATGTCTAAGACAAAGCGAGGTGTCTGAGTATTGTTGACAGAATGAATAAAAGTCACTAACTTCTTGTGCGACATGAATGATATTCTTTCTCATAAGAAATTAGTTGCCTTCGTCAAGCCAATACAAAAAATAATACTGCTACTTTTGTGTGCGTCAAAAAGCTGGGCGTATCTCAGTCCTTAAAGAGATACCTCAACTCTTAAGTATAGTTTGTGTCTTTTATCCTGGAATTACCCTCATCTGACCCCTCACCATGTGCCACCGTTGATATAAATGATAATTATTCTCATGTCCTGTTTAATTAAGTTTTTGCTATTGTACACCACTAGCCATTACATCATAAAGAAGCTACACTCTTTTATACGTTTAGACTTACTAAATCAAGAGGTTCCAACTCCGATGCTGGAAAGTCCCGATCCAGTTATTCTTACAGGTCATCCTTGCTCAAAGGGATTAGACCACCAACAATTATTTTCACTAACAACAGACTGTTGCACCCCTTAATGCAGGACCTGGAGACTTGCAGATTCGTTCTGAATTTAAGTTGGACAGGAGGTGAACTTTAGATCTTCCATTCCATGTCTTTGCTCCAGCTGATGCTTTAATTCAGTGGTGGCCAGCAGCAGGGCCAGCTTGGCCGTGATGAGTCGATTCACTCATCAAAAGGAGCAGACTGGAAGAGCCCTGGCTGCCTACCCCTTTCCTGAGGTACTCTACCGGCCCTGGCTACAGTCCAGCCTCCCCCCTCGAGTTCATGCTCAGCTGCCACACTTTAATTCCAGCTCAATGTCAAACGCAGCATGGAACCATGACAGAACACAAGAAAAGTTGCTCATGAAAGGAGGCTATTGGGCCCATCGCTCTTGTTTGTTCGATTAGAAGTTAAGCAGACTTCAAACTGAATCCAGCTCTTTCTTGAAAGAGTCCAGAGTCTGGTCTTCAGCCACTGAGACATCTGTTCCTGCTACCCAGAGTTCATTCTGTAAAGAAGTGCTTCCTGCTCTCCATTCTATTTCCTTTTACGTTTCACAATTGGAAACATGTTCTTGTTCAATATGAAATAAGATTCTGCTGGGTAAGACCTGTCCTTTTTGAGCTCTCTTAATTTCATACATTTTCAAACCATTTCTTCCAATTCTGGACCTCAGAGGAGCCGGAGCCTATTCCGACAAGCAACGAGCAGATGGTTGGTACACCCTGGCAGGACAGCAAACACGAACAAGGGGAGAACATACAGACTCCACATAGACAGCACACCAGGTTCAGAATTGAACCCAGGGCCCTAGTGCTGCAAAGCAGCAAATCTAGCCATTGAGCCACAATGCGCCCATATCACACATGATTAAACCATTAACTATATAATAATACCAAGATTATTATTGTCAGGATCCTCATTTGTAATGACATACAGTCATTCTGTAACAAATCAAGGATTTTACAACCAACTTTTTTAGATTTCAATTAAAACTGTTATGTTTAATTATGTTAGTTCCAAATTTCAAGAGCGCTGGACTAGAAACTAAGAAGTTGTAGCTGTCAGTGGATTAGCAGCTTTTCTAGGATTCGTCTCAGGGTCCACTAGAGCTACAGACAAGCTTGTAACATTCTGCTGGAAGTGACGTGGTCAATTCAGTTATGAATCACCTTGGTTTTAATGGAGTATTCATTTTTTTTCAAGGTAAATGTGACATTTTCAATGAAGTTGTTCTCATTAATAATTTTACAATATGTATCTGTGCACAAGGACAAAACAATGATTACCTAACGAGGGACCCATAAAGCAAGTGTGTTTTCCTTAAGAGCTCTACAGTCACTACATGAGTTATTAAAATAGCTTGCTTTTGTCAAACACTTTCATAGTGGGGAATTCATAAAGAAGGTGAGATCTCACCATAATAAGCTGTAAATTCCTAATCAGCAATACAGAGAGATAATGTTTTAATTCACGTCTGTTTAGCGAATTCCACTGTGAGTACCAAGTGCAGTGTTTGTAAACCAACACTTACCTCTGATCTGCCTATCAATGACACGCATCTCTTTTCGGATTTTGAGAGACCATTCATTCACCTAAAGAAAAGAGACAAATACAGTTCCAGGTTAATTATAAATCCAATCCTTACCAATAACTGCAGCCACAAGGTCCCTATGTGTGCTGTGGGGAGGAAGGACATAAACGAGCAAGTGCAGACCCAGGCAATTCAGATGACAGTCACTTGACACTACATAGAGGTAGTGGATACAAAAAGGGAACTCTACTACAAAGTCACTTAATAGGTAGCTGGGCCATCACTTGCCACCAACTAGTGGCACAGAGTCTACCAGTGTGTGGAATTCTGCAGGAGGGGTGTGGCACCATTCTCCCATGAGAAAGTCAATCAACTCAGGTCTGGCTGAAGGAGTTGGATGGAGGCATTGTTGCAGAATAACTTGTAAATGCTCGACTGGGTTCAGATCTGGTGACTGAGAAGTCTGTGATGTGTGGACATGTTCATCAAACCCCCGAATGACCACACATGTGTTTGCTATTGTCATCCTGGAAGATCTTTCTTCCCAGCTTCTCAGCACTATTCAGTAACGATTAGCGTCAACCTTGCTGTCTAAGGGAATGAGTATACCCAATCCATGCCAGGAGAATGTGTCCCACAACATTACAGAAGCACCAGAACTCTTCCCTGTTGGAACCAAGCTCTCGGAGCTGTGGAGATCTTGAGGTCGGTTCCACATGTTGAGAACGTGGTGAAGGATGAAATGCAGGCTGTCAGGGCTGTTCAATACATCTCCTTCGCTAGGATGTTTGTTGCTTGTCAAGCCAAAATCCCTCTCTACTCATTTCTAGAGGAGCATCACTGACCTTGCTTCCAGGTGTAAGCTTGGTTTGCTCCATAAACCCAAATGCTTCCAATAAAGAAGTATTTCTTCTATCCTATTCCTCCTATTCTTAGCCCTAAAACCACCTGTTATCAGGGTTAGGTTAGGGTAGAAGCCTGGGATGGTGTTGCTCGACATCATTTAGATAGTAACATGAAAAACACAAAGTCTGTGTCTTTGCTAAAGGGCCTTGCATCTTAACTTAGGCAGAAACAGCTGTTCTCTTTGCCAAATTCAAACCGCACTGCACCAAACCTGTAGGTGTGTTATTGATAACAAAATGCAGCAGTGATTTTAAACGTGCATTTGTTACTTTTTGCATGTGTAATTAACGCGCGATGCAAAAATGCTACTAAACTCGACAGACAACGCTCGTGGTTTAAATGGTAAACAAAATGGCCTCAAACAAGTACTCAGTCAAAGCGTAAATAGCAAAAATGGTATTAAAACGCGGTTACACAGGTGTACTACAATGTTACTGGATTATTAGAAAGAAAACACAAATGTGACAGTGCCACACACACGGCTTGGCTGCCGAGCGATTCCCCCTACTGACAGAGAAGCCACTGTTTACACCGGAATACGCACAGCAGGGGAAAGATGTTTCTGCCTGAAAGGGAGACACAGCCATCTATTGGGAACCGAAAGCAATGCCACAAAAACTCACAGAAAGCCCCTCACTTACCAAGTCCTTTGGCGGTCTCTCTTGTGTTTTACCGAACAGCCCCATTTTCTAAAGGTAACCCAGACCAAACCCGTGAAGTTAGTAAACGCACAATACGCTCCCACTTCCTACTTCCTGCGTGACGTCACCGAAAGGGGAGTGGGGTGAGGGAGCTGTTACCAAAGGCGCAGTGGGTGTGTGTCGGAAAACGTGCTTCACAGCACTTGGCGTTTATTTTTTTCACTGTCCCGACATTTTGTTTTTTTTTTTTATTTAAAGCCCCTGGGTTTGCTGCGTGGTAAACATACTTAGCGGTACATGTGATACATTATGTTTTTATTTTTACTACAACAATAACAAATGTCATGCATTATAAATAATAAATAAACAATCCTTACACTTATATAGCGCTTTTCTGGACACTCCACTCAACGTCCTATACAGGTAATGCGGACTCCCCTCCACCACCACCAATGTGTAGCCCCTTCCTGGATGATGTGATGGCTGACAAAGTGCCTCAGTCCGCTCACCACATATATCCACACCTATCAGTGGAGAGGACTACAGAGTGATGAAACCAGTTCATAGATGGAGACTCTTAGGAAGCCATGATTGGTAAAGCCCAGGGGGAAATTAGGGCACTGGGGTAACAACCATACTCCTTTCAAGAAACACCCTGGAATTGATAATGACAACAGAGAGTTAGGACCTCGGTTTATGTCTCTTACAAAGGACAGCACCTTTTTTACAGAATAGTGTCCCTATTGCTATACCTACTGGCCCCACTAACACCTCTTCCAGTACCTTAATAAATACCTTAATTTTGTCTCATGAGGTCTCCCATCCTTCCATCCAGGTACTGCCAGGCTCACACCTGCTGAGCTTCAGTGGGCTGCCGGTTGTGAGTTTTAGGATGATATGGTTGCTGACCTTTATATTTTTCTGGATTTTTCCAAATAGACTTTTATATTAAAAAGGGCACAGATTATGACAAACTGGAACAACTAATACAAATTTCAGAGTCGAAGTTTAGTCCACTTATCCTTTCAAAAGTGTAGAGGAGAACATTATTTAAATAGATACATTCCTTGAAGGGTGTTGAGTGCTCCTGAGAAAAAGTTAAGCTTTATCGGTTTCTGTTTTCTAGACTACACACTTGAACTTTTATTAAATAAGGCATCCCACCAGAAATTCTCAAAGTATTGTTCTGATAGCAGCAACATTTTTAAAGAAAAGATTCAGAGTTAATAGATAGCCACAAGTAAGAATAGCATGTTAATCTAAAAGTTCTTCTATATTTTACAAACATTCTGAATGATAGCAATCATGTTTTAAGGTAAGCGTATAATCATTATTTTTTTATATTATTTTTTTATATGTTGGCCTCAAAATGCGTTTATCTGTCCACTGGGTTCAGGTTGTTTTTACTCCACTCCTCCCCATGAATTCACTGCTCCTGTCAAGTCATGCCACAGGAGTAATTAGCTGGCCTTACTCAGTGGGTAAGATTTAATATCTGTCGCTACTTAAATCCTTCTTTTCGTCATTCAGTCTCATGTCTCTTTAAAATACTGGAGCTCAGTTACAAACCAGCCTACAGAAATGTACTAGCTAAAGACCAAATTTATAGCAAGCTTGGTCATTTCTTCAAGAAAACATTAAACCAGAAGACTAGAATGAGAGTGGGTATGTTGTCAGTCAGGGATCTTACTTCAGGCTCCAGTAGAAAACCACCATCCTTCAGGGTTTCTAAGATGTTTTCTATACTGTAGGTGTGAATTCCTGTCTCCTAAACAGCACATTTTGATTTCACATCCTAAAACCAAAATATAGTTATGCGTGAATACAATAAGAGCTCGCTGTGTGGAGTTAAAAATGTATGAAATATGATGCTTAGACAGTCTTAGTAACAGCTGTACTGCAGTTTTGATTATGAAAACATCAGCTCTTGATTGATGACCTGTTTCCAATAGTATTTTCTTTTTAGAAAAGCTGTACAACTAGGCTAAAGAAAATGGAAACTTTAAATTTAGTGTCATACAGCCATGTGTGAATCTTCTGAGAGAAAATAAGGTGTTAAAAAAAGAAACTAGGGTGGATGATAAAATCAGAGAATGCCCAAAGCATCTCACATATACAGGTGTCATCTGAGGATCTGAAGAATATTTGATCTGGGTGTTCTCTCTGAAAAGAAACCATGTATTGAAAAGGAAACCTTGTAACCAAGAAAACAAAAAGGTGTAAGATGTGGATTACTCACATAATATGCTTAGGACATGTAATTGAACAGTCAAACAGGATAGTGTATAATCAGATCTTTGACTTGGATAAAAATCATGGAAACACCCTATTAATTTGTGATGTATCACAAAAAATATTCATAGTGTTCAGTGATAAGATTTTTCTTGGGAGAGAGCATAGTACTGTTCTTTTAATTAATAATTCCTACACTTACATAGCGCTTTTCTGGACACGCCACTCAAACTGTTTTACAGCTAATGGGGACTCTCCTCCACCACCACCAATGTGCAGCCCCACCTGGATGATGTGACAGCAGCCAAAGTGTACCAGTACCCATCAGATATCAGTGGGGAGGAGAAATGTTATTTACAACTTTAACACTTCTCCCTTGACCACAGGGATCTACCCTTTAAATACATTTTAAGAATATCTTGTTAATTGTGATCAACTGTTTTTCAGTAGTTGCTATAATATTAGGTTTTAAAAAGTGGTTCAGGTAAAACATAAATGAAGAGAATAAGTAACAATAGAAAACAAGTGGCTTCACTTACTTCTACACTAACCTCTGCAGCAGGTAAGTGTGAAACATAGCTTAGCAGTCTTCACCACTAAACCACCATGTTAACTGCAACTTCTGCTTGTTAGCAAAACTCCATCAAATCAAGAGAAAATGTGATACCCAAACGGACAAAAAAGAAAAACTTTAAAACGGGAGGCACTTCAAGATACAAAATCAGAAAAAATGGTGAGCAGTACAATGACTTTTCAAAACCTTTAGGATAGAACTGTGCCATAATAGAATTATATTATAAAAAAAAACAGCCAAATACTCAGAAGATTCCCCGAGGTCTGTGTTAGGTCGTACTACAGAATTCTTCCACAGCTCAGTGTGTTCTAAAGCACAGACATAAAAACAATAAGTAGCCTACTTGGCACGGAGAACCAGACAAAGAGAAAAGTATCTTAAGCACTCCTCCCACAGCTTTTTGTATGAAATGATTGTATTGGTACTCGATTTGGAGAGAAAACAATCTGTTCACATTCTAATCACTTGGACATAAAAACACAAGCAATATGCTATACACATAGTTTTATTGAACATTCATGAGTAGCTTTTCACGTTTCACTCCATGAAGCTTTAACAAAAAAAAAGGATTTTACAGTTTGTGAACTCTTGGTCTCAGCACTTTTATACTAATTATTTGGCTGGCTCTTAATACAGCCCCCCACATACACACACTTCCTCTCAGCAAACACGTCTAAACACAACTGTTTGACATTGACTTCTTCTTGGGTAAACCTGTAAACTAGGACCACAGCGGAATAAACAATCACCTTCATTTTCAAAACGTCTGCCTGCAAAAACCCTGCGAACAAAGAATCTCTGACATTAACCAACACCTTAAATTTAGGCGAATCAGCTATACAAATGAAAGGAACTGCAGTGGGCCAGTAAACAGTTTGCTTTAGATTTTCAAGCACCAGTCACATGATGTCTTCAGAAAGCTGGTATAAATCAGATTCTGATGGCAAATAATAAAGCATGGGGTGAATAAAGATGTAATATTAGATGTAAAACAGTAGAATGGAACATTCTGTCCAGCTATGTTTGTTGTTGAAGCCAACACCCAGGATTTTTAAAGAGAGATCTGGATGAGATACTTGGATCAATTAGCTACTAACTACTAATGGGGCTATACAGGTCAAACTACCTCCTCCTGTTTGTATGCTTATGTTCTATGTAAAATACTAAGCAAATGAAAAGGTTACAAGTCCAATAGCGTTTTGATGCTTAAAGAAAAAGCTAGTGAAAAATGTAGTGTTTTAGATCACCAAAAACGTGCAAAATACTCTCACTCAATGTATTCCCCTTCAGTACAGTAGTTCATTCATTGGCTTTTCTACATATTTAGCAGGCATTTTCTACAATGGACACTACAGCACACATAAGGAAAGTTTTAGGCTCCCACTAATTGATTCTCCATTCTTCTACATAATTACAGCCATTAAAATCCACCTTATTCATAGTTCAGTAAAAAATGTATTGTACACGTGGTATAAGATACCATGATGTTATAAATTTTCTGACCTGATACACTGTGTTACTGGTAGTTTTCCAAAAGTTCTCAGCATTTTTTATTCTTCCAGTCTAGACAAAAAATTGTGCCAGGAAATATCTCAAAAGTCTTTAGAAATCTCTATAGCTATGACTCTTATACTCATTTTATTAGGAGCTCACGTTATAATCCGATTCAAAATGTTGTTCAAGCTCGAATGTTTTCCAGCTGTACAATGATCCCCTAGAAAACTGTTGTTGATACTCGTGATCACTTTTGCATTTAGGGTGTTAAAAATGTAGATGCATTTTAAAGAAAATTAAAGATCACAGCAGTCGGAAAACATATTAAAGAGGTTTTAAATATCTCTTCCAGGATGGTGCTTTATCTAATAAAATGTGTATTGAGAGCATAGCTGGAGCCATTTGGGTTAATTTGTAAAAAGGCATTGAACTTCTGGCCCTGATGTCTATTTTAAACAGGCAGCTGCAGTTCAAGGACATATTCACCGGCACTAGCAGACTATTTCAAGGAGTTTTGTCGTTCAGAGCAGAACTGTAGATCTGGAAGACTCAGAGTTAAAGAATCTGAAAGGCAAATTTCAGTGGCTTATCCCATCTATACAACCAAGACAAACCTACTCTGCTTCAGCTAGGCAACCCCATACACTTTTCCCAATATTTTGTTAACAGCTGTGACGCACCTGTGTCATCCTTTCTAGATAAAACAACCTTTGTGCCTTATTAACTGTAGGTAGTAGTTTGAATGGAGTACTGTACTGTACTGAGCGTGCACACATGTTCTCTCCTGCGATCTCAGCCATCTACCCAGCCCCCCCGAAAAGAGTTTGAGAGGATTAGAATGGCACTTCATGTGTTGTACTGCGAGTCAAGATGTTAACCTATTGGAAACTCCCCCAAAGAAAGAACCTTTTGAAACAGCATAGGATCCTATCACCCATCAGGGTACAAGATAATTACCCACATGAAGGGAAACAAAACAGGACAAACCGGCTAAAATAGAGACTACTGTCCATTTCACTGCTTTTATAAACAAAGAAGTTTTGAGCGTCTCGGATTACCTTTGTGACAATTTTACCCTTTTCATACACTGCATTTTTTACTGCACCCTTTATGCATTTTTCACTACAGTCGAAATGCATCCATTTAATTTATTTGTTATTTTTTTTAAAGTACAAGGCAACCAAAATAAAAACAAATATTAAATTAGTGCTACAATACAACAGATCAGCTTGATTTATTTTTCATTACTCTGCCCTACACTTTTAAACTAAAGTTCAAACCACAAAAAAACAACATAGTTCTAACGACTAACATTAACACATCAAGTATTAAGATATTAAGTGCAGGAGGCAGATTCCCAGCCAGTGTTAAGAAGCAGTTTCACTTAATGACCAAGAGTGCGGTATCTGCTACTGCTGTTGCTGTTGTGCTTCCTGGTCCTGTCTGCGGTGTTTCTTTTTGTAGGATGGCCACCTGCACACTGGACAGCAGTGCCGCCCGCCTGCCAGCCAGACCACAATGCACTGCTGGTGGAAAACATGGCCACATGGGAGTCCCATTACGAGACAACCATTCTCAAAATTCTCCAAACAAACGACACATTCTGTGCAATGCAGCATGTGATTGGGCCATTTCGACCAGTCAGGTTCCAGATCTTCTTTAGCGTTAAGATTTCCAGGGCAGTCACTTTCATTTTTACAGGAGCCATTTTCCACGTTTTTGCAAACACACGCACGTGGGGGGGTACGTTCTTTTTCAGGCCCACACCACTCGTCGTCCGATGGCTCCAGCTCGCTCCTGAGTTCACTTTCCAATTCACGGTCACTCTCCCTCCAGGAGCCTGCGTTCGGCTCCCGATCGCAGCTCTGAGCTCGGGTGCACTTGAAATTCCAGGTGGGCAGGCTCTTAATGTAGTCAGTGGGGATCAGTGGATGAAGCCACAGATCTGGAAATGCCAGCCTCTCCAGCAGCAGGTTGGGGTCGTCGTCCCAGTCTGATTCATTGGGGAAGTTTTGGAAGGAGGCAATGGGGTGGAAGAGGTAGCTGGTGTACCAGTCCCACAGGCTGGAGAGCCACTCCAAGTTGTTGGCGTTGATCTCGTCGTCGTTGTTGTTGCGTCTTCTCTTCTTCTCAAAGTAGTCGATCAGGAGGCCGTGGCCCAAGTAAGTGCTGAGGAAGAGCGCAGGATGGGAGGAGTAGAACGACCAGTCTGCTCTCACCCAGGAGGCAATGGTGGTTGTGTCAGCATACCTCAGTAATTTTAGGCTGTATTCATAAAAACTATCTAGGTATGGCAACTGCAGAAATCCCAGTATAGGGAGCCAGGAAATTATTAACAAAGAGTTGTAGGTCCCCAGTGTGCTAATGAGAACGACAAAGCGTTTTATAGTGGCCCCTTGTGTTATGAACAAATCCATCCAAGCCATGAGGTTGACCATGACGAGACTTAAGACAAACAGGTCGTTGACCTCTGGCTGCACCGAGCGCAGGAAAGTGTCCATCGCGCTGAGGGAAATGAACTCGCCTGTGCTGTTTCCATACCTGTAGGTGCCCTCGGGCATTTTGAGTATGTAGGACGGTATCTGCTGTACGCCAATTTCCTTCATGTAGCTCTCGTTGCTCCAGTTCTGTACGTCGACAAAGATGAACTCGATCCGGCCGGTAAATTTGACACTCAGGGCGGAGAAGAAGGCCGGCGGCTGGTCCAGCTTGGCGAACAGGTACATCTTCACTTGGTCCCGGTCGCTCCTGTTCCACTCGGCCACCAGCTGCTCGGCCAGGCGCACGGTCTTGATCCGTGAGGCCACGTGCGCCGTCATCCATTTGAAGATGTGCTCCGTCTCGATCCGGTTGCCATTGTACTCCTTCAACATCACCTTCCCCTTGGAGGTGTTGGTCTGGGGGACCGACATAATGAGGGTGGACTTCAGCCATCCCCGTTTTCGACAGTACCTGAAAACAAAGAGAGGGAAGAGAGACAACTGCTTAGGTCTGAAGATCGAAATATTTTAGTCAGGTTATCGTGCCATAGAGCTTAAAGGTCCAAAATCCTGTACTTTACGGTGATTGTTGAAAACAGGTTGTATGACAGATTCTCTGTAAAAATGTTAATATATGTATCTCAAAGTTAAAGGGGTACTGCAGTCCCAGTTTCTCAGACTGGTTACTAAATCTTAGTAGCAACATAAATTAATTGACGTTACAGAAATAAAAGGCAAATATCAAATTAAGCACAAAATCGGGAACTTTATAAAAGTACTCTAAGCCGCCATGTTGTCACAAAAAAAAAGTTCCCACAAATTGCAACCTGAAGTGGCCCTTCCTGCTCGCTCGTCACTGTAAAGACTGATGTAATGTGATGTACAAGCAAATTACAGGTTGTGCAGCAGACATTTCCCCCCAGAAATGTTCCAACTTGATCTGTATGTAGAGTTAACAAGTAGTATTTTTTGGCAAAACCATCTCAAAATCAAAAACAATAGTTCTGTTGGATGAAAACAGATGTATTCACAAGTCTGCTTGTGTACAATGTAATAAGACTGCTTCATGTAGAACATGGTGCTACATATATGTGTGCTATTTACAATTTACTGTGTACATTTTACTTTCATTTTGGTTTGTAAGGCACTCATCAATGATGGTTCTTTCTTGAAATACTCAAATCACCTACCCAAATAATAATTACTTACACTTACAGTATATAGCACTTTTCTGGACACTCCACTCAAAATGCTTTACAGGTAATGGGGACTCCCCTCCACCACCACCAATGCGCAGCATCCACCAAGCCAGAACGCTTACCACACATCAGCTATCAGTGGGGAGAACAGAGTAATGAAGCCAATTTATATATGGGGATTATTAGGAGGCCATGATTGGTAAGGGCCAATGGGAAATTTGGCCTACTCCTTTTAAGAAACGCCCCGAGATTTTTAATGACCACAGAGAGTCAGGACCTCGGTTTTACATCCCTGTCACTATACTGGGGCATTAGGACCCACA